TCGTTTACTCCGCCATATATGGTCCCCAATACTTTTCTTTCAAAGACTCTTAGTAACTCTTCATCTCGGGTCGTCATTGCCCATGTTTCCGATCCGTATGTGAGCACTGGGCGTATTATTGTTTTATAAAGTTTGCACTTTGTTGCTATTGACGTACTTCTCGATCTTAGTTGAGGGTCCAGGCCAAAATAACAGCGGTTAGCCACGCATATTCTTTTTTTTTATCTCGTTGGATGTGTTATTTTTGCAGTCTACCAGTGATACTAAGTAGCAGAATTCTTCTACCATTTCTATCGTTTCGTGTTGCACCTCTAAGTTATTTTGTTGAATTCTTGATATGGTCGGCATATACTTAGTTTTCTGGATGTTAATGAGAAGTCCGATGTTTTCCGCGGCATTTTTGATATGCGTGAAAGCCTCCACAGCTTCATTTTGGGTTCTTCCAATTATGACGATATCATCAGCGTATGCCATTATTTGTATACTACAGGTATATATCGTACCTTCTAAGTTTATTCCCGAATCTCTCATAACTTTTTCTAACGCTAGGTTGAACAGCGTGCACGATAGTGCATTTTCCTGGCGCAGTCCTCTGTTGGTTTTAAATGGTTTTGAAACATCCCCTTGTACGCGCACTTTACATTCGACTTTCATCATTGTCATTTTAATTAATTCTACCAAACCTTTTGGTATTCCTAATTCGATCATCGCCGAATATAATTGTGCCTGTCAATAGTATCGTACGCTGCCTTACAGTATATGAAGATGTAATGGCAGTCTATGTCGTACTTCGTCGTTTTTTCCAATATCTGATGGATGATATGTGATCAATGGTAGATTTGTTTTTCAAGAAGCCTCTTTGGTAGGATCCTATTATATTGTCAGTATACCGTGCCAGTCGTTCGTTAAGTATCAGGGACACAATTTTGTATGTTGTATTAAGAAAGGAAATCCCTCTAAAGTTGGAACATTCAAGAACGTTTCCTTTTTTGTGTATGGGGCATATAATTCCAGTATTCCAATCTTCTGGTAACGCGCGTTCTTAACATACCTGTATTAGTAGTTTGTGAAGGAGGGTTAGAAATGTTTGACCGCCACATTTAAATATTTCTGCGGGTAGGTTGTCTGCTCCGGGTGACTTGTTTCTGGCTAGAGACTGAATTGCTTCGTTTATTTCTTCCAAAGTTGGTAGCTCAGTATCCTCCTCTTCTATTTCTATATCATATCTACCTTCAGCTCTACTTTCTCCATTAAGTAGCGTACTAAAATGTTCCTGTCATCTTTCTAGTACTTCCACTCTCTCGTTTAAAAGAATTCCGTTAAGGGCCTTGACTTGGTTCGCTTGTGGCTTGAAAACTTTTTTCGTTTTAGTAAGAAGTATTAAAATGAGTTCCTATAAACATTTAACTAGAAGTGAAAAAAGATATTTTTAACTGGAAATGAAGACCAATTACAACAATAGTCATCATTTTCACAAATTTCATCTGTTCAAACTCAAGAAACATCATTTTTGTCCAAAACTTTTCTACAAAAAGACCAGCAAGAAAAATCGAGCAATGCCGATTGTGAATATGAAACAAAAGGAGAAAATATAAATTTAAATCATATCAAAGTAATGATGAAACTAAGAGTTTTGTAAACAATATTACATTACGACCAGAATACTAAGAAACACCATGCGAGGGTGTTACATAGAAACTTCGCCAATATCAATGCATGTATATCCGCCAATATACATGCTATTCGATGCAAAGAAGGGTCAAAATAAATCACAATAAAATTAACTATTGTCTCCTTCTTTAGAACAATTAATAGCGGGGAAAAGGTTAATGAAGATTGGTTGGCTTATACTGACACCAACGCTTATACTGACACCAACTACATATTGTACTCTTACATCTGTAAATTATTTTCCCATCAATGAAGACCAACAACGCTAAAAGGGAAGAATGATTGGAAAAATGTATATAACAATATGCCAGAGCATGAAAACTCCACTAACTACATTAACTTCATTTTAATGTTTATAATACGGTCTAAAATTACCAAACTTATTGACACTGAACTGGAAAAACAAATGATAAATAAAAAAAAATTTTTGACGAAGTACTTAAACGTGTGGTGGCAGTTTCTTGGTGAAAATGAAACTGGCAATAGTGGTCGTCCAATAATGGATGCAACTGATGAAGACAATTTAGAAATCATTGAAGAAGTCCCTGGAACAAGTACAAGGGTAATAGCTGCTCTACTAAATATTCCTCACGTAAGAGTTTCTAGCCGTTTGAAGGATCAGCTGCTTAAACCCTATCACTTAACAACGGTTAAAGAGTTATTGGTTAAAAATTATCCTAAAATAATCGGATTTTCGATTGGTTGTTAATGGAAAAAACTCGAAATGTTAATTTTATTAGAAATATTTTGTTTATCGACGAGGCTACCTTTAGTAGAAATGGAGTACAAACCATCATACCGAGCATATTTGGGCCGACGAAAATCCTCCCGCCAAAAAAATGACTCATCACCAAAGGACTTTAAAAGTTCATGTTTGGGCAGGAATTGTGGATGACAATCTAATAGGCCCAGTATTTCTTCTCAACAATTTATATGGTGATAATTATTTGCAGTTCTTGGCAAACAATTTACAAGTGTATTTGGAAGAAATGAATATTGCAATAAGGCAAAATATCTGGTTTCTACAAGATGGCGCTCCACCGCATTACAGTAATGAAGTCCGGAAATACCTTTGCAGGCAGTATCCTGGTCGGTGGATTGGAAGGGGTTGTGACGCACCTATTTCTTCACCACCCAGAAGTCCAGGTCTTAACCCCATGGACTTTTGCTTTGCTGGACATTAAAATGAATGTGTATCGAAGAAAATGGGGATCATTTTGAACATTTATTGTAATATTATGTTTATAGAGGTTATAGAAATTTTTTGTACTTGTTAATTCATTTAAACCGTTTATTTAGTTGCACGTAATTTTTTAAAGGTTAATGAAAAGAATTGTGAAACCTTTAATTGTGGCTTATTCCCATTTAAATAGTAATTACTTTAAAAGGCCACAAGAAAATAGCTTCAGAACAATAGAGAGAGAGGAAGAGAAAGAGATAGCAAAAGAACGAGGGAGTGAGAGATTTTTATTGGATATCACTGATGATAAAATTTGCGACATCTTGGATTGTCCGCTTTTTCTGGGATATGTTGTTTAAAGTGTGATGTTTGGATTTATGGGTACCCCCTATAGGCACTGTTTTTAGACATTTTAAAATTAAAAGCTTGGTTGTTGTGCATTTGTTTAGCTAAAATTTAATATACCTAACAAAATTATACAGAATAATGGCTAAAGAAATAATCAAAAATGACAAAAAGAAAAGCTGAAACAAATTTAGCGAAAAAATGAAAGAAAATAGTCAAGAAAATTGTTTTACAGAACACTCACAAACCTACGAATCAACAAAGAAATAAAACTAAAACGAATAATGACCAAAAACGGAGTATCTCTTATAAAAATACGAAGACTAAGATGGGCAAGACATCTGGCAAGATCACAGCAGAACAACCCTCCTAGAAGAATCCTTATGTCACAACCTGTGGGAAGTAGAAGTAAGGGTAGGGCAAAACTAAGATGGGGGGATGGTGTAGATGAGGATGGTAGAATAATAGGCGCAGCAAACTGGCAACAGTTGGCAATGGATCGAACTGAATGGCGTAATAGACTTAGGAAGGTCTTAGCACCAATGATGATGACCAAAAACGGAACAATGTTAACCGATGACAAGGATTTAATGCAAATGCAAATATGGAGAGAACATTTCAAACAACTGCTGAACAGAGAGAAAGGAAAAGCAAAGGAAAATGAAAACAACCTAATTGGAGGATCAGAGGAAACACAAAGAAAACAGAAGCTATATAGGAAGAAGAATTAGAGGAAGCAACAAGTTTCCAGCAACAACATGAAGTAAGTCCAGAGATGTTAAAATATATAGAAGAAAAAGCAAAGAACAGAGTGTTATACATCCTAAATCTAATATGGAAGAAAAAGAATACTGCAGAGTGAATGGTCAAACACAATAATTGTACCAGTGCACAAAAACAGAAACAAAGAGACTGTCAGAATTATAGAGGCATATCCCTACAATTTGTAACAGCAAAACTATATGAAATAATAATAGAAAGAAAAATCAGATCATATCAAATAATAGTAGACAGAAATAGAACATAAAGAGGTTTCTGAATGTCACACTATGCAACAGATAATAGAGAAAGCCTTAAAGAAAAATAAAGAAGTATACGTAAGTTTTATAGACATGGAAAATGCATTTGATTTAATCGAAAGGAAAACTGTATGGGAGTTGATAATATTGACCAATAAAAGAGAGGAACAGCGACATAGCAGAGATATTACAAAATAAAGGCAAATCTTAGCCAGAAGCAAAACAATTGACGAACAACACAAAAACATGGAGAAAATTCATAAAAAGCAAGAATCACTTCCCTCGACACCTAATGGTAGACGAGCTTATCTCTTGAACAAATGGCCTACATTTTTTGGCCCATATCCTTGATCGCAAATGTTAGAGAAGGATTAAAATTAATCAGATGCTCTTTTAAAATAAGCAGGATGAAGATTTACTCAAATTGGCGGACCAAGAAACGAAAAGACCAGATGGGCTTATATTATTATATTTGATCAAAGACATATGTATTATATACTCGTAATATTATCTATTTACTATATCGTGTAAATCTTCTTTGTTCTGATTTATTTTCGATGATCATGGATTATCTTGGCGCACTTTAATTTATTTATAAACAATAATAAATAATTAGCAATAACTATCAGTTAAAAATAAAATCTCTATGCATGTATTAACTTATAACAATATTTTAATATAACCAGTCTCCCTATAATCGGTAAACAACATTTATCAAAAGTTGCTGACCTATTACAAGTGCTGATAACGAAGTGTAGTAACAGGGACATAAATATATCTACTTAAGTCAATCGAACAATTCCACGTCTTAGATAGTAACAAACCGGTAATCTTGTAGTTATGCGGGTTCCAATCACTTCCACTAAGTTACTGTCGGCGTTTAAACACTTTGTAGCTGTTAGGAATATGGCCAGTGGAGAATTTCTCATAAATGATTCAAAATACTCCTTCCTTAAGGATTTAGGACTGAAAGAAAGAAATTTGGGAGTTTATGATGGAGCATGGAAGGGATCTGGTGCGGTAAGTGTAAAAATAAATAAGTTTATTGGTTAGGTACCGATATTTTCTTTTATCAACTTTGTTTTAAATGTTTTGTTTATTTTATCATTTTCAATGTTTTAGTTGATGTATTGATTTTGCTTCCCGTATTCTAAATTTTTATACCAATATATTTGTAATCTTATGTTTACGATTTCTTTTTGAAATTTGGTTCTTTATTTAATGTAAATTCTTCTGCAAACAAAATGTTTTTCAATACCTCGATCAATCAATCAACCAGTTTATAACGTTCTACGCCGTCTTCTGATTTCCAGTCTCCATTTATCGCAGTCGTTCCAAAGGTTTTCTACAACTTCCCTACTTTACTTTATTATTCCATGCGGTGTCCAGTTCAATACTTTCTTTGGTATTCTGTGTTCATCCATTCTTTGGATGTGTCCATACCATCTTAGTTGATCTATTTTGATGTCCTCTGTGATATTGCGCTTATCACTCATAATTTCTTGTATTCTTTCGTTTCTAACTCTGTCTAATCTTGATTTTCCAATCGCTCTTCTCCAGAAGTCCATTTCTGTTGCTTCTAATGCTAAGTTTTTTCCTTTCAATGGCCATACCCCACTTCCATATATCAGAATGCTTTTATAATGCTGTCATAGATTTTGTGTTTGTTTTCTTTTGAGATTATTTTGTCCCACACTACACTGTTTAACTGCATAATGGCTTGTCCTCCCTGGTTATTTCTATGTTTAATTTCTTCGTCTAATTTGCCATCGTTGGTTATTTGCATGCCTAAATATTTGTATTTTCGACAGTGATTTATTTCTCGCTGTATTTTTTCCAAGATTATATTTTGTTTAAACTAGCCCCATAGTTCGTATTCTTCGATAAGTTTACAAGTCATATATTCGAGATATTCATAGTCTTGGGCCATCACTATCTGGTCATCTGCAAAACTCAATGTGTACAATATTGCGTCATTTAGAGAAATTTCCATGTTTCTGAATTTTCTTTTCCACGTCTTCATCGCTTGCTTCGAGTAGATTAAACAAATTAGGAGACACACAGCATCCTTGTTTGAGTCCTTTGCTGATAGTGAAACCCTTGGATACCTTCTGACCTTTCTTTATTTTACTTGTGTGATTCTTGTAGAAGTGTTGAACAGCCTTGATTAACGTTACACTAATATTTGTTTTCTCGAGAGCTTCCCAGAGTTTTTGTTGTGGCACACTGTCATAAGCTTTCTTAAGGTCTACATAGAGAATATGTATTGGTTGATTTCGTGCTACTTTTTTTTATTAGGTGAGTAACAGTAAACAGATGGTCAATAGTTGATCTACCTGCTCTAAAGCCGGCCTGTTCTTTATCTTCTATCCTCTATAGAATTTATCTTCCATTCTCTTTTTGTTGAGTTTCCCGTAAACTCTCAAGATGGTGCTAAGGACTGCGATTCCTCGATAATTGTCACATATATCTTTACTTCCCTTCTTATGTATTGTCGTGATAAACGATGTTCTCCACTCATCCGGTACACTCTCTCCGTACTCCGTTAACACACTTTTGGTAAAGGCTTGTAGCTGCTTATATAATTTGCTTGTACCGTACTTTAGTAGCTCAGTTTAATGCTTGGCATACTCGGGCTACTTCTTTGTCGTCAATCCTAATTGAAGAAACAAGCTAGTGAATGTACCTCTGATTGTATTTGAGTTGTTTGCAAATATTCTGCCCCCCTAGGCTGATTGGTGGGATGATGTCTTTATTGTCGAAGAGATCGAAGTATTTTCCAGTTTTCGGTGCTTTTGATAACTCCCCCCCCCCCCCCCGTGTTTATTCTGGAGTAGTTTCTTTCCCAGCTTTTGTTTTTCTTCTTAGTTATCGCACCTCGTACGTTTCTTTGGGCTGTTCGATATTCGTTTTTACTTCGGTTTTTTCATATTTATCGGCTTCTTCTGCTGCACTTTTGAGACATTGTTTTATGTAATTTCAATGGTGCTTAACACTATCAAAGTTTTCTTGTAAGAACTTTTCATTGAGTCGCTTTTTGAATAGTGCCTTTGTGTTTTTTCGGTTGAGGCTATCCAAGTTGTATTTGGTTTCTATTGTTTTTTGTTCTTGTTCCTCGTTGTGTCCTTTTTTCTTGGCTAGTCGTATGGGCATTATTTTAGCCTTTATTAGGTAGTAGTCGCTTCTTTTAAATGCTCTTACGTTTTCGTAGGTCTCCTACTAGGAGTATTTCTCTTGATATTACTATTTTTTATATTACTTAAGATAGTTGCTCAAAGGACTCTTCTTTAACTTTTAATAAAGCGTCCTTGTTTACTGCATAGATGCCAAGAATGGCGACTTTACTACTATGCAGGGTCAGGTTAAGTTTGATGATGTGCGGATTCACTACTTTCCAGGATGTTATGTACCTTCTAAGTATTTTTCTTATAAGTATAGCCACTCCTTGCTGGGCTCTTTTATCTCTGTATTCCTGAGAAAAAGTGGTTCTATTCTCCTAGGTTTTCTGAGCCTTTCTTTTTTGTCTCAGTAAATACTAAAATATCAATTTTTGATTTATTGGTTTCCGAAATTACGTCGTTGAGTTTATTGGAGATATTGGAGATATTAATCCGATGCCTTAACCCCAATCCTGGAGGACCGGAGCTTTGACTTCGGAGTGCCACTTCTGCCGATCTTGATCATACCCCAGTCAAGGAAAGAAAAAAGCTGAAAAAATCCTATACAGATATTTGAAGGTTCTAAAAGAAATATGCGGGGTAGCTAATGAAAAATCCGTGATGACGTACAGCTGATTTTTCTTAAATAGTGAAAAAAGATTTTTTGCCGATAATACGGTTTTTACACATAAAAAATTCTTAGTTCTGAAAGATTCCAAATTAAAATACATAGATAATTGACCGAGATAATTGCAAAAAACCCTCACTTTTGTAGTAATGTATAAATCTAATAAGTTTGTTTATTTGCATAATGACATACTATAAGTACTCAAAATTGTGGCATTTAATGTGGCAGAAGTTTACCAAATTTCAAACAGATCGTCCAAATAGTATATAATATTCAATTTGTCTATCCCAGAGAGCGATTATTTAAACAACTGTAAATTGCAATCGATTCTTTAAAGGTTAATTTTTAAGGTACCTATATTAAAAAACCGCAACATTTTATTAAATTTGTTATTCAAACAAAGTTGTTTTATCTTTAATTATTTTATTTGAAATGCTATCTTGTTTCCTATTGATATAGAAGATTCATAGAAGATTCTGCTTTTTTTGAGACCTCTTTTTTTATTAACCTTTTCATTTACTCTACATACAAGTATGTGAAATAAAAAATATAAAAGTTACATATCCCCACAGAAAATAGTCTAGCGGTGTTAAATCCAACGATCTTGGAGGCAGCTCCGTAACGTGAAACTATTCCTTTAATAAATCAGCTGTGGCAGGATCTGTTGCACATCATGGCTGTATTGGTCATCATTGACTGCAACGTTCTGGCCAGCATCGCTTTTGAATGAGTACTGGTAACACTTCTCTGTCTACTGGTAAAACTCCGAATCAACTCCAGTTAGTACAATTGTACCGATTCAAACAATCAATAATACAGTGAAAGTTAAAGAATTTAGACCCATTAATACATTACCAGCAATTGAAAAAATGATTGAAATTGTTGTATGTTATGATCAAGTTATTGAACATGTTGAAAAAATGCTATTCTGATAAGTAATCAATCTGGTTTTAGAAAGCAACACTCTTGTGATTCGGCACTTCAATTGACAATTCAAGTTCAAAAAGATCAAAACAAATATGTAGTATTTGTATTCTTAGATCTTAAGAGAACCTTTGAGACCATAGACCTAAATATTTTACTGACAAAATTGTTGCAGAATGGCATGAGGGGTGGAGAGTTTGACTGGTTTAATAATTATCTATCAAATTGCAAGCGTTAAATTTAATAATTTAATCTTAGATAAACTTAACATTGATGTAGGTGTACCTCAGGGAAGTGTCCTAGGACCATTATTTTTTATACTCTACTTCAATGATACCGATCTATTTGTTGATTGTGAGTTTATTAATCCTTTTTGCTGACGATACGTTAATAGCTTGTAGTGATTCATCATTCAGCATATTATAACTGCCTTAAAGGGTGGATATTTTTTTAACCTATAACTTAGATCGAAGTAAAATAATTTGAGTCGTTTTTCCTATAAAAATTTATAAATATTGTAGTTTCTGTTTAAATTTTCACTCGCAGCTATAAAATGATAGGTTTCGACATGTAATCGATATTTACCTAAAACAACATTATCTTATCGAGCTGATAACATAAACAAATTATTATAGCAAACAACACTTGTTATTTTATATTAACTAAGTAATCCATCAAAAGAGTTCAAAATCTTCCAAAATTTATCTATACCTAGGTACTTTAACAATTTATTTTTTTCTTCTATCGATTCTATCGATTTTTATTGGCGTGTGCAAATATATAATCTCGGAACATCTTATTAACTAATTGTGTATAAATCTTCTCTTTTGCGCCTGATGCTAGGACTAATCTTTAGATACATTTCTAACGAAAATTTACGCCCAGTCTATTCTTAATATAAAAATTCCAGAAAGAAAAAAAATTTCACAACGAACGAGAAACTTGCTTTTAACTCCCAACTGAAATAGAAATAATCAGAAAAAGCAGTTTTATTGCAGATTTCAAGTCATAGTGAAATAGACATAAAGAAAATATTAGATACTTCTTCTTCTTGTAGTGCCTATCCGCGACTCAATTACCACGACTACATTACCAGTAGGAGAAATCTCAAGGATAAAGTCAAAGAACAGACTAAAAGCGCATCAATGATATCTGGATATCTACGTAACAATATCTACAGCAACAAACATATGAGAATAGAAAATAAAGTAAGAATACATGAGCCCTGCGTAAGGCCAGTAATGTCCTATGCAATCGAGACCAAAACAGAATCAGCTGCAGCCAAGAAGCACCCAAGGATAACTGAAATGAGAACGCTCAGATCCATTGCTGATTACATTCTTAGGGACTAAAAAAGGAATAAGTTGATGAGAGAACAATGCGGCGTCCTGGATGTCGTAGGATGGGCTAGACAGAGACACATGTAGTGGAAACGACAGACAGAATAGACGATGAGAAGCTCTGCTTATACACCTGTTTTTGGCCCGCATCAGATGGCCCTGTCTTCGAATGTCGTTGAACTGTTAATTTGAGTGTTTAATGGTTATTGAACTATTTTTTTGCGTTATTTTATTAGGAATATAAATTTTACAGCAAGACCAAAACCATAACAAATACAGATGAAGACATCACAATGAGAATCGGACAAGATGAAATAGAACAAGTTAAGGATTATATATATATATATATATATATATATATATATATATATATTATATTATATATCTTGGTCAAACTATAAAACTTAACAAAGAGAACCAAACAGCAGAGATCAAGAGACGAGTTAGACTGGCATGGGCGGCATTTGGCAAACTAAGCTATATTCTTAAAAACAAAAGATATCCACAGCATCTTAAGACCAAAGTATATAATCAATGCGTACTCCCTGTTCTTACTTATGGTTCCCAAACGTGGACATCATGGACAAAATCATAAAAACCCAAAAAGCAATGGAAAGACAAATGTTGCACATAGGACTAATGGATAAGAAGAGAAACGAGTGGATAAGAGAGAAAACAAAAGTGAGGGATGTTAGACAAGAAGTTGCAAAATTGAAATGGAGATTTGCCGGACACAATATAAGACAAAAAGAAGTTCCAACACCGACGGAACAAAATTATTATAAGTTGGAGACCGTGGGAATATAAACGAAGCAGAGGAAGGTCCCAAATGAAATGGGCAGATGATATCAAGAAGCACGTGGGCTCTAGATGGATGACTGTAGCGACAGGTAGAGAAGAATGGAAAAGGATTGGGGAGGCCGATGTCCAAAGATGGACCGAAGAAGGCTAATTAGATAGATAGATAGATAAATTTTACATTCAATATCCTTATTGACTCGTATAAGGCTGTATAGAACACTGATGGTCCCCGTTCTCACATATGGAACAGAGGCATGGACGCTAACTAAAACAGATGAATCCGCTCTATCGATTTTTTAAAGAAAGGTGCTACGCAAGATATTTGGAGCGGTCTGTGAGAACGGAATATAGAGGCGTAGCTATAACTTTGAACTGCAGAATATCTACAAGCATATGTTTGGTGGTAAAGATATTACCACTATAATTAATCGAAACCGTCTGCAGTGAGTAAGACATGTAGCCCGGGCCCTGAATCGAATATGATACAAAAGATTCTAACAGCGCAACCCGTGGGAATGAGAAGACGGGGTAGACCAAAGCTAAGGTGGATGGATGGGGTAGCACAAGATGGGAAAACTCAAGCAAGGGGAGAACAGAATGGCGTAGAAAGCTTGAGAAGGTCCAGGCCCTCTAAGGGCTGTAGCACCAAGATGATGATGATTATGATCATTATTGACAGTACTATTTTGAATCTTTGGAGTGGAAATATTACGTTGTATGAATTTTGTTAATTTTTTAAGTAATTTTTTGGTAATTTGTTTTTAATTTTGCATTTAAAAATGGTTACTGGAAATATTAACTTAATTAAACCAAAATTTTCCGTTTTTAGTATAGTACTCCTAAAGTAGTTAAAGAACAATTTATCCTTATTAAATTTATTTTTGTAGGTAGTACAATCAATTTGTCCCAGCAATGGAAAAGTTATAGCAGAGGTTCAACAGGGATCGATAACAGATTATGAATCATGCGTGGAAGCATCCAAAGCAGCTTGGAATGTTTGGGCAGACTTACCAGCTCCAGCAAGAGGCGAAATTGTCAGACAGATTGGAAACGCCTTAAGAGAAAATCTCGTTCCGTTGGGAAAGTTAGTATCTATTGAAATGGGTAAGTAAAGAATATGATACTTTCTAAATATATTCAATGTCTGATATTAAGATGAAGTCAAAAATCAATAAAAAAAAAATTTGTTAAAATCCTTTATAAAAGGTATATAAAAATGCCTCAAACGGGCTATCACAAACACATTGCAAAACGTTTTCGGATTAAACAATCCATCATCAGTGCAAACGGTTGTACATGCTAGTAGCCACCAAAATATATGGGTAAAAACCCTTTAAATGTTATAAATTTGAAATTGTTTTACATTATTAGTATTTCTAATTTGTGATGGTTAAGTTACCGTTGGATAGGTAACATGGCGGCGTATGACTCTACATGAGTAAAATGTAGTTTTACCTATTTAACGGTAACTTAACCATCACAAATTAGAAATACTAATAATGTAAAACAATTTCAAATTTATAACATTTAAAGAATTTTTACCCATATATTTTGGTGGCTACTAGCATGTACAACCGTTTGCACTGATGATGGATTGTTTAATCCGAAAACGTTTTGCAATGTGTTTGTGATAGCCCGTTTGAGGCATTTTTATATACCTTTTATAAAGGATTTTAACAAATTTTTTTGTGATATATGGTATACAGCCAGCTACAGGAACTTAGTTTCCTCGTGGAATTTCAAAAATCAATGACTGATAATGAAACTAAAATTCTGATTTTCGTTTTTTTATTAAAGTATAGCTATATTAAGCATATTTTTCGAGGTTTACAATTCCTAAATATCATCAACCATACTGTAGAAATGCTGATGTAACATACTTTAATTCATATAAATAATATAATAATATTAAAACCTCTGTAGACGTTTTGTCAGGTCTTCTATTAGACTGCGCCTTCTGCTAATAGGTAATCTCTGAGTACTGAGAGCACCCAGGAAGCAGAAATATAAAATGAGCAGTGGCCATTAATTCAAATAGTTTGCGCTTCGATAAGAACCTGACAATTCTCAGTCAAAAAACGAATCACTACAGTAATATTTGTATGCCCAATTTTGAATGAATGTGAATTCCAGCTCAAAAACAAGAACTGGCCACTGGCCAAGGATGATGTATTACCATATCAGATGGTGCACACACAACCGAAATGATCAAAACAACGTGTGAAGTATGAAATGAACGGTACCCCTGGATTAAAATGATCAAAACCTAGGTTAAGAGATGTCAAAAATATACCATACCGAATAGCAGACTAATATCACGTGATTATAGACAATCTTATCGCAGATGCTATGCTAGCTGTATTATCAATATAAGCAAAGTCGAAAGAAAAACTAATAACCAGCATGAAATAGTAGAGTTCACAAGTCCACAATCAGAGAGTATTTCCTGAAACAAAAAGTTTCTTACTTACTCTTCAAGAAAGGTAACTAAGTTTCAACAGGTTCCAAACAAAAATTACACTTCTTCTTCTTCTTCAGGTGCCATCTCCGCTACGGAGGTTGGCAATCATCATAGCTATCTTAATTTTTGAGGCAGTAGCTCTAAATAGTTGTTTTGAGCTGCATCCAAACCATTCTCTCGAAAAATTACACGAAATATATCAAATCTCGCCAGGTTCAAATCGACGAATGCCCTTACGAATCCCAAGCCCAGGCAATGGTTTAACATCTCCCTGGAGGCTGTTAGGTATTTTTCGTTACTCACTACAACAAACAGCAATACTTAGTAGGAAAAGTACTCCATCAAAAGCTAGCCAACAAACTGGGATTTCTCCAAATCCAGCTTCTCCCTTTTTATAAATATATCTCGGATCAGGGATATCCCTGATTTCACTGTGTTGTGTATATGGACCAATCACTCGTATATACTGGACCAGATCTCCTACTAGTGAATAAACGAAGCAGAAAAGCTATCATTATTGTAAGTGAGGTTGTGAGGTATAATTCAAAAACAATGAAGAATGAAAAGTGCTCATGCCTACTGTAGGTATACCTATGTTCTTCATAACTACGAGTGACTGGGTTTTAGTGAACATCTTTATTACATGCAAAAAATGGTACTGCTCGCGACGTTCTGATGCGTCATAAAGTTTGTGGGAGATACTTCAGCTCACCAGAGGTCTTATAAAATGGAATAGAGTTGCTATTCAGAGCCAACATGAATGCGACATCACGAGAAAACTGGAACCATTCGAAAAAAAAAACAAGGAAAAACAAGAAAATCCAAGGAAAAAGAAGCGTAAGGAGACGTAAAATATGATGGCTGACAACCTAAGAGAGTGGTAAGGATGTAAATCAAATGAACTTTTCAGAGAGGCTGTCACTGAATTCCGAGTAGCTATGATGATGGCTGATCTCCGTCGCGGATTTGACACTTAAGGAAGATCACTTAGAACTAATCCTTTTGATACCGAAAGTATCTAGGATCTAGTAATCATTGGTTTGATCATGAGTGCGAAACGGTCACAAATAGAAAGAATGCAGCACATTAAAAAACCATCGACGTAGGTTGTACACGGAGAAGAAAACGTCTTAGAAGAGTATAGACGTCTTAGAAGAGAGGAAAAACGTATCGATCGACGTAAAAAGATGGAAAAGAGGGGAAGATATAAACGATATTGAAGGAGGTTACAACATAGAAAATCAACAAAATTTATAACGTCAACTACACAGTGAAGACCCAACAAGAGAAGAAGTGTCAAATGCGGTCCTAAAACTCAAAAACAATAAAGCCCCAGGAATCGATAAAATCTGTTCGGAAATGTATAAAAAAAAGCTGATCAACATTTTGCAGCAAGCCATAAACTAATAGTACTTATATAGCATAATGAATGGGTACTAGAAGAGTGGCTACAGTGAATAATATGTCCGTTGCATAAAAAGGGTGATCAACTGGAGTTTAAGAACTATAGATGCATTACTGTGTTAGCATCTGCGTATAAAATCTTCGGCAATGTATTATTTGAAAGACTTGCGGATTTACTGCTAGAAAGTCAACTGCACATCAAATTCAAGCACATAGGTAGATTCTAGAAAAGTCACTAGAATATACCATAGATACACACCATCTCTTCATTGACTTCAAATTAACCTATGACAGTGTGAAAAGAACTGCATTATATAATGCAATGATAGACTTTGGGATCCCTTGGGAACTCACCTAAGTTAGTTAAGTTGACCCAGCTAACAATGCAAAACGTAAGCTCATGCGTTAGAATTGAAGGAGAAAACTCTACGTTCTTTGACATTAATAATGGTCTCCTAAAGACAAGGGGATGCGCTAGCGTGTCTCCTCTTTTGTCTGATTGAACTCTGAGGAACTCAACATTTGTTATTCGGTCTATCCAACTTATTTTTAATATTCTTCGGTAGGTCCGCATCTCGAATGCTTCAAGTCGATCGCTCACCTCTTTCTTTAAGGTCCAGGCCTCCACCCCATACAGCAGCACCGAAAACACATATGAACGTAATATTCTTATTTTGAGTAGCAAACTAAGGTCTCTGTCACGGTCTCCAGAAACATTTAAAAAATAAAAATATAAAACGTGCAGTAAAGCTTATTATATACAAGACCTTAGATGGGCTGGACACATTACTAGGATGTCAAATCACGAATACATGAAGAGATTAACATTTTCAAAACCAGAGGGTACAAGAAGCAGAGGACGATCACGAATCAGATCGATTGATGATGTGGAAGAAGACCTACAAATTCTAAGGGTCAGAAGATGGAGGGAAACTGCCAGGAATCAACAAGAGTAGCGACTTCTTTGTGAGCAGGCCAAGATTTACAACGGATTGTCGAGTCACTTATGATGATGATGAAGTACCTAGGATGAATTTATCGTTTCCTTAAAGGGAGTGAGATCCATTAAATCTGGGTAAACAAATACAAAAAAATTGATTAGCTAGGAATTGTATAAAAAAATTTAACCAAAAAACCGATTTATAAAAAGTTTAATAAGTTTCGTAAATCATTAAGTTCATCATTTGATCTCCTTTGAAGTCTGAAAACTGATAATATTATTGATTTGTTAAATTATTTCATTGATAATTAATTGGGATTTTAGGAAAAATATTACCAGAAGGTATAGGAGAAGTCCAAGAATATGTAGATATTTGTGATTACGCTGTAGGATTATCAAGGACATTAGCTGGATCCATTTTTCCATCGGAACGCCCAGGACATGTACTTTTAGAAAAATGGAATCCCTTAGGGGTTATAGGAGTAATTTCAGCTTTTAACTTCCCTATAGCAGTATACGGTTGGAACAGTGCTATTGCTATGGTAATATAACAATAATAATATGTTTCTTTTAAATGTAATTTCAGTTTAATTATTGGCTTATTAATAGATTGAGCTGTGTCACGCCGCCAAGAACAGAATTCTAGTAATGAGATAGTCGCCTACGCACTTTGGTGTATGGCATGTTAAGAAGAAGAAGTTGTTTGTTTGTGTTTATATGACTTCGGACACTAAATTCATTCGCCAATCTTACAATTTTTATTCATTTTTTCATTAGTCATTGTTTCATATACAATATTATCCTAAATCTATTACTAGTATTGATCTCTAATATATTATCTTTTTTTAGTAATTTGTTTTTTAGTTATTTATAAATAATATATAAAATAGGTGATGAGGTCCTCAGAGTTTCAGAGTTCCTCATGTTTTCTCTTTTTTTTTTTATACATCAACATAAATAATATATATTATATATTCCCGGAGAAGTGTTTTTGTTGTTCTCAAGACTTATTTCTAATTCGTATAAACTAAATGGCACTGAAAGTGGATGATTAGAGTTTTTCCTTTCCATTACAATAATTTTTGAGACATCTGGACATAATTTTCTCACAAACTCCTCAACCTATTCTCCTTCAGTCACTGGATTTATTTGTGGTTTAAAGATGTTTGTTTGACACGTTTCAAACAAAACGTTTTCAACGTTTGACTTGATTTCAAATATTTTTTATTGGTGTATTTTTGTTTAAAGTTTCACAAAAAACTTGCGTAAAGCAAGTTGTTATTCTTTAATAACCTTTTTACAATTATCATTCCACCAAGTTTTCCTAAAAAATTAATAGATAAAAGCAGTAATAAGATCTGGTCACAAGCAGGCATTCTAAACTTTTACATTAATTTCAATTTAAGTGTATTTGTTCGTTCAAATAATGTGTACTTGACATTCCGACATATGACAACATATTTAGGAGCCGAGGTACATTTGCGGTTTTGATTTGTTGTTCTCAGCAACTGTACACAAACGTAAACGTTTACAAGAGTAATCTGGAGAGAATAACGATGAGCGATGAAAAGACAGCTGTGTTGGTGTATCTGTGTCGCTGTGTGGAATTCAGGAAAATGGCCATCTGGTTGGTGTACTACACAAAATATTTATATCCCTCTACACAAAAAAGGAACTACTACCAGATGTGAAAACTACCTTCTATCTACATTACCAAATACCTTAGGAACAAGCTGTACCAACTTCAGGGTTGGTAAAGGGTAAAGGTACACGAGAACAAATCCTGAACCTGAAACAACTCATTGAAAAGTCTTGAGAATTTCAAGAACCTATGGATATGCTTCATTGACTACCAAAAGGCATTTAATTGTGTAAGCTGGATAAATCTCTGGTCCATTTTAATAGAAATGGGCACAGCAATGCACCTGGTGATACTTATTAAAAATCTATACCAGTCCAATGTAGCAACAGTACGACTATGTCAGAAGTTCTCAAACCAGTGCAAGACCGATAGAGGTGTTAGACAAGGATGCGTGTTGTGACCTGATTTGTTCAACATTTACGGTTAAAATGTCATGAGGATGGCTTTAGATGGATGGGCAGGTGGAATAGCAGTGACTGGTAGGAAAATCTCCAATTTAAGATTTGCTGATGGCACTACACTTATAGCAGCAAATGAGCAAGAAATGTTTAATCTTCTGCGAAGAGTTGAGAACAAAAGCAATAAAGTTGGTCTGAAAATCAATAAAGCCAACACAAAAATAATGATGGACGACCGATTCCACACTATTCAACTCACTAACATGTTACAGGAATACCAGATAGTGGACAGCTTTGTCTATAAGATAAGACTGGCGAATGCGCTTGTATTCTCAATACAAGGACGAAGACTATAACTTTGGAATGTGGTGATGGAGAAGAATGCTACGCATACCTTATACATCTCATAGCACAAATGTTTCCATTCTAAACCAACTTGAAATGAAAAAAGGCTATCCACACTAATATATCTGCAATTATTTGCAACGTATTCTTCAATTTTTCGGTCACCTGTTTCACAGATGTGTCGATAGTTTGGAGAGACTAATTGTTTCTGGAAACGTTCCGGGAAGATCAAGAGGACGATCACCAACTAGATGATCCGACCAGATTAAGAATTCCGCTGGAAACTTATTTTCCATATATATATATATATACAGATAGAGACTAATGGAGAAAAATGGTTAAGAATAGTGGAAGAAATCCCGATCCTCAGTAATGGAAACGACAAGAGAGAGAGATGAAAAGACAAATCAACGTAATTCTTTGAGACAGAATTCTAGATATTTTGTTAAGAACAGTCAAAAAAGTTAAAAATGCTACCAGCCAATTGGCAAAATTGAATTGGAATTTATATCACACTATTAAACAAATATATGAAAGATGGAATAGGATATGGATATATAAACGAAAATGAGAGTGACCACAGACCACAAGCAACAGCAAAGAGCCATTTAAAATATCTTTTGTGGATTAATTAAAAATTATTTACTTAAACCTTCTTACAAACGTTGTATTTAATAACTCATCTACCAATTACAATAGTATTTTCTCCGAATCTCCTTTTTCCCCTCTTATTTGGAATTTTCAGACAGCATAGTATATAAAAATTTTTTACAGGTATGTGGTGATACTGTTTTATGGAAAGGAGCTGAAACTACTCCACTTGTATCTGTTGCAACTACAAAAATAGTCGCCGATGTTCTCAAAAAGAATAATCTACCTGGAGCTGTAGCATCCTTGTGCTGTGGGGGTGCAGATGTAGGCAAGGCCATGGCTGCTGATCACAGAATCAAATTGTTATCCTTTACAGGAAGCACTCATATCGGTCAACAGGTGTGTTCCAAAATTAATTTATTAATTAAAGATTTATATTTGTTCTATTTAGGAGTGTTCAGATATTACATAATAGTTCAGGAAAAAAGAATTTGAAATCACACAATCATAATAGTATCGTGTATACTTCTTCTAGTATCATTAGTTTTTCTGGGGAAAATCATTAAATGGCACCAACCGCTTAAGTTCTATTACGAGATGGCGTGCCGGACTTTTACCGACTAAAAACCGTCGGGACCCATGTGTATCCCTGCTGAGAAGTATTAGTAGTAGTTGTTATGTGATAGCAGTAGCAGTACTAGTAGTCTAAATTAACGCTAGGCAACATATACTCGTACCTCTTTTGCAGTGGCAATCTTTATGGGTAACAAAGATGTTCCTAACAGTGATTAACTTGAGTTATGTGCTTATGGCGCAAACCACAACTATTAATTGGATAACTGTCATTATGTTTTAACTAATCGTTTGTTTTGTTAAATAAACATAACATACTAAATAAACCAAAAAACAAGTATTTTCAATATTTGTCTTTTTATCCGATTGTAGTGATAAATGTATATATTTTCAGGTGGGAGTGGAAGTTCAAAAACGTTTTGGAAAATTTTTATTAGAACTTGGCGGAAATAATGCAATCATAGTCGCTGAAGACGCCGATTTAGATATGGTAGTACAAGCAAGTGTATTTGCATGCGTAGGAACCGCTGGACAACGATGTACAACTACAAGAAGACTGATTCTACATAACAAGGTAAAATATTTTTATGCTAAAATTAACAAGGAAGTATCCAATATAATAAAACACGTAAAAATTACTTAATTTGATATTAATAAAGGATATATTTTATTTACAATCAGTATTTAGTATCAAAAGATAAAAAACAAGTATTTAAAAATAACGCATCAAAAATATTTATTATAGAATATAGTTTTTTTCAAATAAACCAATTCACTTAACTGTATATCGTCAAGTATTTGAAATTACAACTTTGTTCTAACAATCATTTGAAGAGGATGGCTCATTGAAAAAATCTGAATCAAAATCTGAATTGTGTTTCGAAACTATTTTACGGTTTTATTGTCAGATGTCGCTATTGCGTCCGTATTGAAGCCATTTTAGTGTTGCTTCTTAAAAGACAGAAAATATTGATCTTTCACGTTGAGAACACCTTTGAATAACTGTTCTGATGAGACCTATTAGGTCGAAATACGTATCAACAGATACAAAGGCGCTGTTTGCGTGAAATCAAATATTTGCTGTCTTTTTCACTTTATTCGGATTTACTCTGTACGAGTACAAGAAACCAATTCGCTAAGGATTTCTGCTTAGTTGATAAGATGTGTCGTGGAATGCAAATTTTAGATTCCCCACGTCTCTTTTAACACCTTTACCAACGTCTGTTTTGCTTTGCAATTTTTAGAAAGTACAGATAAAAGCGGAAATCTGAATTGTGTTTCGAAACTATTTTACGGACTTACCAAATACTTGAATGTCGAATATAAGAAATATATAATGTCTGTATATTCTGGCCCCACGTTGGGCGCCAATTATAAGGGCTGTAGGTTATAGGGTGTGAGGTATTATAATCTAATGATTTATCAGTAATTTGCTTTATAACGAATAATTAATCTGTACACAATCTTCCACTACGAAAACCCTGTTTCAATATCTTTTAATAAGAATTAGTCTGTTTGTTATTTGGTAATTAATTATCTAAACAATAATTTTACTTTTTATAACTAAATGCCTTATCTTTTACACTTTTAATATTCAAATCATAATAAATTGAATGCAAAAATACTTGGCAATGAAGTAATCATCCTTGTTAGGCAAATTCTCCCAATAATCGACCCAATAAAGTTGCTACTTTTCCTAGTTTACATATGTAAAATATGTTTCTTTTAAGGTTTATAATGAAGTTTTGGAAAGATTAAAGAAAGCCTACAGCCAGGTACTTCACAGGATAGGAGATGCTTTAGAAGATAATACTTTAGTAGGTCCACTTCACAGTAAACAATCGTTACAAAAATATATAGACACTATAGAACAGATTAAGAAGCAAGGAGGGAAAATTGAATTTGGTGGCAATGTAAGTATATTTTTTCTTAATCTAACTTAAAAATTTATCTTTATAAATTACGTCAAATAGGGGACTTAATAGTGATAGATGACGTTACAGAGCCACTGTGACCGATAATTTTAGATGTGCATTAACTTTCAGATGATGACCCCGACCGAAGACTAGAATTCTGTGAAAATATGTCCAATTGCATTAACCAACAGCCAGATTACATAAAAACAATTTGTATTTACTCATTCTTGTTTCATATAAAAGAAAAATTGCAGAATTCATAAAATAGTATAATCAAAATGTACTTTTCGGTTGAGTTTACCGAAAGTACAAGCTGATCATAGCCGCAAATGTCAAACATAGAACAAAAAATTTCGGTTTAGCAGTGTTGGCATGTTTTTGTAATGTATATGCTTTATGCTTCAAACATAAAGAGATAAAGCTTTAAAAAAGTACATTTTGATTATAGTATGTTATGAATTCTGCAATGTTTGATTTATATAAAACAAGAATGAGTAAACATTTGTTACTTTAGAGATTATTTGCAGGGAATTATTAAAATTTTTTTTGGCAATTGCCCTTTGATAGATATTAGGTGATAGATTTGACAATCATCAAATCAGCAGTTGCCAGATTGCAACATATCCAATAGAAAAACATCCCAACACTGCAAAAGCGAAATATTTTATTTCATGATTAACTTTTGCGGTTAAGACAGTTTTACATTATGCTATTTTCATGCTAGGCAAGAGCCATGCAAGACAGATCATGGAACTGCGCATGCCCACGGGCTATTTCCATGCAATTCCTGTGCTAGACGAAAAATTAGAACATGTTCTATTTTTCATGCAATTTTCTTGCAATTTATCGTTAAAATTCATGTTGCCAACATAATTTATAATAGATTACAGAATAAAACATAAGCTTATCTCTATCTTTAGCGTCCCTTAAGCCACATGTGTATTGTTGTGTTTGGATTTAAATTAAGTTTATTAAGTGGTGATAAATAGATATACTATGTCTAAAGTTAATGTAAAAACGACTGGGTGAGTCGTTGACTATGGATGATTGTTGCTACAACAGCAATATTCAACAATAACAATGTTTTCTTTTCTTTGGTTGACATCCTTCACCCTTTTAATAACCATAAATAGTGTATATTTAGTTATTATATTATTTATTTTAGTACTTAATTATATTTTTTATTTAAAATAAAATAACCTCAAATTGATAAATATTTTCTCTGTTGGCAACAATGAAAGTGGGATCTAAAATTGCACAGAAATATCTCTGATGTAAAAAGGTCAAGCTAGACATGAGACTTACATAGCCTAGATGTAAAGCTCCCTTTATATTCAGCTTGTACTTTCGGTAAACAAAACAGTACTTTTCTAAAGCTTTATCTCGTTATATTTGAAGCATAAAACATATACAAAATTATAAAAACATGCCAACACTGTTAAACCGAAATTTTTCGTTCCATGTTTGACATTTGAGTTTCTTACGAAAAGCATAGTCAATTTCCAAAAAAAATGTAAATGTTTTGGGCAGGTATTTTGGTAAACCACATAGTTGAACCTGTTTTTCTTATATCTGGGGATGTTACAAAACTCAATTGAGCGGTTAATTCTTGAAATTCTGAAAGATGACGAATTCGGTCACTTGGAAATAACGTTAAGTACTTAGTGTATTAAGACCGAACGATGTCTACGAAGATGAAATTTATATCAATAAATTCTGTTTCACTTACTGATGATTGGGCAATGATTTTTATTCTCTGGAAAACGTTCTTTTTTATGTAATGTCCATTTAGAATATGCCCTATTTTTAAAAGTCACCATTATTTTTCCATGAAACAACATGAAATGACAACTGGTTCTTATGGACAAGAAGGATAATTTTAACCAGTGTTGCCATAGTTATACGAAATATGTTTTCTAACGAAAAATAAAATTTTGATTTTTAATTATAAAATTTTATTCTTACCTACTTTTAATAGGGATAATTTGTTTTTAGGTATTAAATAAACCAGGATTCTATGTCGAACCAACAATAGTCACAGGACTTCAGCATGACAGCCCTCTATTGCACAGCGAATGTTTTGCACCAATAGTATATGTATTAAAGGCAGATAGTGTAGAACAAGCGATATCCTGGAATAACGAGGTACCCCAAGGACTTTCTTCAAGTATGTTTACTCAGAATATCGGAAATATATTTGAGGTAAGAAATATCACTTTAAATTTAACATTTAAAGCATATATTTGGCTTTTATTTAGCATGTTCTAATTATTCTGAGTATAAATTGCCGAAAAGAGGTAAATTACAAAGTTTCTTTAAAATAAACAAAACATTGTCGAAATCAAGTAACTTGGAACCAGTTTCTTTAATATCAAAATAAATATTTTTATGATAGCAATGGCCAAGAAAATATTTATTATAACATCTTCATCCCCTTGTAATAAGACATGATTCTGTTTCTCGTTACATCTACCTCTTACGATTCCTCTTTCATGTAATTTTTTCATGTTAAGTTTGTTTTGTTTCATTGATTTTGCCCCTCCTTTCCTCTTTTTTTTTAATGTTTTAATGTTTTTAGTACTATCCCTAAATAATTATCTTTACTAGTTCTAAGAGTCTTCATCTCTGGTGTTCTCATCAACCTCTTATGTTTTATTTATTACAATTTATCTCATTGTGTTCATGTATGTCTTCTTTTATATTATTAGTTGTAGCCAGCTAAACCTCTTAAGCGCTGGAATGCCGATACAATTGTATCAATTATTGGTTTATGTACTAAGAACATGAGGATATGAGAAGAAGAATAAAATCTATTGTGCTAAAATTCAAAAGGGTTTTCCAGTATACCAAGAAATAAGAGTATAGTTTTAAGACTCGGGACTTTCTCTTCAGGAAAAATGATGATGAAAAATGAAATAAAAATTAGATCTATTGGCCCCAAATTAAACAAGGTTGTTCCTTGCCTCACGGGAAACCTATGTGGCCAAGTTTCAAGGCCCTAGGACATTTCTTTCAAGAGCTATTTACTTTTTTTTTTACTTTACTCCGTGGCGTTACAACCCTTCGTGGGTTTTAGCCGATTCGACAACATGCCTCCACTGTTTTCTGTCTTGAGCAACCTCCATCCAATTCTCCACGCCCATAGTGCGTAGGTCTCCTGCTACATTATTTCGCCACCGGAGACGAGGGCGTCCGCGTGGTCTCCTTCCAGTTGGTACTTCCTCCCACACCAGTCTTACTGTTCGTTCGTCAGAATGTCTTCGGAGGTGTCCTGCCCATTGGAGTCTTCTGGACTTTCTTTTATGATGTTGGCGTCTGGGTAAAGTTCTTCAAGCTCTTTATTAGTTCTTATCCTATATTGTCCTGATGCTTCATCAAGCACCGGACCAAAGATCTTCCTTAAAATTTTTTTTCCCAAACACGTAGTCTCTCTTCATTTGCCTTTGTTATCGTCCACGTTTCGCTTCCATACATCACAACGGGTCGTATGATTGTTTTATAGACCTGTATCTTCGTACGTCGTGTTAGTTGTTTTGATTTTATAAGGTTTTGGAGGGCAAAAATACATCTGTTGCCGGCCTGAATCCTGTTGTTTATTTCTTGTGATCCGTTATTGTCTTCAGTTATTGTTGTTCCAAGATACTTGAATTCTCTAACGCGCTCAAAGTTAAAGTCATCGATGGTAATGTTCTGACCGATTCTGTCTCCGCTTTGGTTATTGCGGCTCATATACATATATTTCGTCTTGTTTTCGTTGATTTGGAGCCCCATCTTCTCTGCTTCCTTCTCAAACCTTACGAAAGTCTCCTTCATCCTTAATCGCGTGTTTCCTATTAGATCTATATCGTCTGCAAATGCCAGTAGTAAGTTTGGTCCTTCTCGATGAAATACTGTATTCGGTTTTTCGATTCTTGCACTTCTGATTATGTGCTCCAGAGCTAAGTTGAAGAGTTGTGGTGAAAGTGCATCTCCCTGTTTTAGTCCATTGTTTATTTCAAATGTCTCCGAGTATTGTTGTCCAACTCTCACCTTACATCGTAACCGTTCCATACACATCCGTATCAACCGGACTAGTTTTTTTGGAAAGCCAAGTTCCTGCATCGCTGTCCACAGTCTGTCCCTACATACTCTATCAAATGCTTGTTTAAAATCTATGAACATCTGATGAAGCTCACGATCAAACTCCCAGCATTTTTCCATTATCTGTTTTATTGTGAATATCTGGTCAATTGTAGAGCGGCCCGGTCTAAATCCGCATTGATAATCTCCAACGATTTCTTCTGTGTATGTTTTGGTTCTTTCTAGCAGGATGTTTGCAAGGATTTTGTAGATGGTGTTTAGGAGTATTATTCCTCTGTAGTTAATACATTGCTTTTTGTTTCCTTTTTTGTGTATTGGTACAATAACCCCTTCTTCCATTCATCTGGCATTGTTTCTTCTTGCCAAATGTCTTGAATTAGCTTGTATATCGAACTGTACAACGCTTCTCCTCCATGTTTTAAGCACTCTGCGGGTATACCATCGCTTTCAAGAGCTATCCTTAACATTATCTATAGAACTCTAATAGAGTTCTTCATTACATCAAGAGAAAAAATAGTATCATGCATCAGGACCCAAGGACAAGAACAGACAGACAGACATTACCCATTTTTTCTTGAGCTCTTTATCTTTGTATTAATTTTTAGGGCTTTGTTTAAGAAATCTTGTTTCCTTTTATTACATTTTGGTCCTCTATATCTATTTCTACACCTTGTAGTATTATTATTTTGTCTTTTGTTCCTTTACATTCTATCTATTTTCCTTCCTAATTCTTCCATTTTTTGTATGTTTACTTTGTTTTCCTGTTGCAGCTTTTATTTCGACTCCTTGTAGTATTACATTATTTTGTCTTTTGTCCTTTTTCATTCGATCTACTTTCTTTTCTAAAAATAAATATTAATAAATATTTTTTTTTATTTTTTAGTGGATTGGTCCAAAAGGCTCAGACTGTGGTATTGTAAACGTAAACATTCCTACATCAGGAGCTGAAATTGGTGGAGCTTTCGGTGGCGAAAAAGCCACTGGTGGCGGCAGAGAATCAGGCAGCGACTCGTGGAAGCAATATATGAGACGATCCACCATTACAATCAATCATTCCAAACAATTACCCTTGGCACAAGGAATTAAATTTGAATAGAAAGATTATTTATTTGAAAATAATTTTGTACAAAAAAAGTTCATTTTTGAAAATTTGTTATCTTTATTGTTAAAAATAAAATAATTATTTTAATTACTCAACTTATTTTTGAGATCAACGATCTTGCTCTTGTAAGTGAGAGCGCCCACCAAAGTGGCGTGGCAGTGACAAGCAGCAAGTAGCACGCGTCTAGCATAATGTAACCAATCCAAACGAATGATTAGAATGAATGACGTCACTGTCATTTTGGTGTAAACCGAATCATTCGTTTTCATTGGTTACATTATGCTAGACGCGTGCTACTTGCTACTTGCCACTGCCACGCCACTTTAGTGGGCGCTCTCACTAAAAAATGCTATTAGTGTATTAAGTGCTGTATTTACACGTTTAGTGAATATTAATAGCATTTTTACGAACATATCGCGGCTCCGTATCATCGTGTATGTTCTTGAATACAATCTTAGATGACTACCTTGAATATATTTTCTTCGTCTTTTAACTGCATTTTCTTGAAGCAAGGCGATAATAAGTGATTTTTGAAGATCATAACTACCAACATTCCAGTATTTCTCAAACATTTCTCTGCAGGTATCATTATTCATTTTTGTGTAACATTTTTGTGTAACAATTGTTTAGAATCTACGTATAACCCTCTTTTAGAAATATATGGTTTATTAGTGTTTTTTAAAGTTCTCCGAATTGCTTCTGTTTGTCCAATGTACTTCCGTTTTCTTGGTCTTCCTTTCCAATGCTCTTCTTGGCTTACTTGTTGAGGATAATTTTCGTTTCGAGAATCGTGTCCCGTATTTGCATTGCTGTCTGATAAATCATCGGTTCTTTCTGGATATGAGGCTTCATCATTTTGAAAATCAGGATCTGCAATATTGTCGTCAAAGTCACTCTCCTCAGATAAATCGGTGTTCCGGCCTTCTATAGTTATATTATGAGCCTCAGCTGTACTATTGTCCTCACCTGCGCCATTTTGCTTAACATTTGAATAACTATCTTTGTTGTTAGCTAAGCTATGATTATCCTGAAACAAAGTTATAATAGGTAAGTGGCGTATTTATACGGTAACCAGTATTTTTTTAAACTTACTATAAAAAACGGTATCTAAATATATTTTGATTTATTACAAAACACCAATTATGTCTGACTACCTAATTTGTGTTCATCAAATAAGATGATTAGGAATATTATCGTACATATCCTACTTCAAAAAACATCTTAGCAAAATGTCTTACAAAATTGATATTCGTCGAGGTGTTTATAATATGGTTGGGCGAATGTCAAAACGAGACATTGTTAATATTTATCGAGATCAAAACATAAGCAAATCGACAATTTATCGCACAATCGGAGAATGTGAAGAAGGATTACCATGTGTTAACTTGCGTAACAGCGTAGTTTTTGCAGATATTCTGGAAAGTTTGCAAAGAATAATGTCGCATATATCACATATAAGTAGAGAACACGGACTTGATCTTAATACGAAGAAAACAAAGTACATGGTAGTCAGTAAGCGCGAAATATTAAATACACAGCTTTTGGTTAACCAACATCCAATTGACAGAGTGGACAGCTACACATACCTTGGCACCAACATTAACAGCCAATGGGATCACTCCAGTGAAATTAAACAACGCATAGGAAAAGCGAGATCAGCGTTCATAATGATAAAGTCTCTTTTCAGAAGTCATGATTTACCACTTGCTACCAAAATCTATGGAGTGAAATGCAAAACATGGAAATAAAACCTTCGTTAATAATAGCAACTCAAAAGTGGTATGTAAACAACACCACATCAATTAAAATAGGAAGCAAACTTAGTGAGAAATTCAACACTACGAAAGGGCTACGACAGGGATGTTGTTTATCACTTACGCTGTTTAAAATATATCTGGATTGATCTCTACAAAAGTGGCAAAGACAATGCAGAAATATGGGAATACAAATAGATGAGGATATTCTCTATACACTATTCTTCGCTGATGACTAACTGGTGGTAGCAGAAGATATAGACAACCTCAGCTATATGGTTAGGAAACTACAAACGGCGTGCGAAGAATGTGGACTGACAATGAACTTACAAAAATGCGAATATATTTCAGTGGGGAAAAATACAGTCGAAGACCTGACATTGGAGGGTGACAAAATCAAAGGAACAAATAGAGTAAAATACCTAGGAGTAGTGTTTACAAAAGACGGAAATAGCTATAAAGAAATAAATACAAGAATAAACAAAGGCAGAAACATTACCAAATGCCTAAACTCCATTCTCTGGGATAAAAAAATCACAAGAACGACGAAAAAAACGAATATATAAGACGATGGTTGAGCCGGTGGTAACATACGGAGCAGAGATATGGGACACTAGTAAAAGAAACAGGAAAAAATTACAAGCTACCGAGATAGATTTTATGAGAAGAAGCTGTAGATTGACAAGGATGGATAGAATCCGCAATGAAGAAATAAAACGTAGAATGGAGCAAGAAAAGACATTATAGATGAAGTCAAGAAAAAACAACTAACTTGGTTCGGTCATGTAAACAGAATGGCAGACGAAAGGTGGCCAAAGAAAATATTAAAATGTATCCCAACCGAAAGAAGGAAAAGAGGGCGTCCAAGAAGAAGCTGGCGAGATGACGTGAACGAAGCCATGGAAGGAAGACAGCTAAATGAAGCCGATAGCCGAGATAGGAAACTAGGGACAGGAAAACAACGACAGTTGTAAAATCTCTCTCATTAGATGCTATATATTTTCTACCTTATTATACGGAGTAGAGGCCTGGACACTTTCCGAAGCTTCCTTAAGAAAACTCGAGGCATTCGAGATGTAGTGTTACAGACGTATCTTAAGAATTTCATGGGTGGATCGTGTGACTAATGTTGAGGTCCTACGTAGAATAGGCAAAGAATGCGAGATTATTAACACCATCAAAGAGCGCAAACTATAATATCTTGGCCATGTTATTGTTATTGTAATATCTTGGCCAAGAAGAAGAATATCTTGGCTTCAAAACCTGAGAAAGTGGTTTAATACATCGACAACCGGACTATTCATAATAGCAGCAAGCAAAGTTACGATAGCCATGTTGATCGCCAACATCCGGAACGTATAGGCACCGTAAAAAGAAGAAGAACTTGCGTAAAAGTGGCCGACCGCGGATTTTGAACCATATAAGAAAGGCAAGACTAATTGAAGCAGCTAAGAACAAAATTGAGGTCTCATAGCGGAAACTGGCCAGAAGATTTCATGTTGGAAAGACTACAGTATACAGGACCCTATGGAGTAACAATATTATCTACCACAAAAGAAGGAAAGCTCCAAAATACACAGAGGAACATTTAGAGAGAATTCCAAGATGTTGCCGGGCGTTAAGACGAGTGCATTTCGTCAACAAGTTGATCGTGATCGACGATGAATAATATTTTGTTCTTAGCTGCTTCAATCAGTCTTGCCTCTCTTATAAAGTTCAAAATCCGCGGTCGGTCACTTTTACGCAAGTTAACACATGGTATCCCTTCTTCACATTCTCTGATTGTGCGATAAATTGTCGATTTGCTTATGTTTTGATCTCGATAAATATTAACAATACCTCGTTTGGACATTTGCCCAACCATATTATAAACACCTCGACGAATATCAATTGTATAAGACATTTTGCAGAGCACAAACCAAAATATTCTGCTTTGCTTATTAAATGTCAATAACTGATGACATTTCAATTCCATGGCCTTCTTTGTTAAATGCATTTTGCTTCTCAATCAGACCAGGTGAAATTTTTCCAAAACTTTAGGACCATACGTTATTCTTATTAGATATGGAACCAAACAACAATAAAAAGTACCAAACCCCCACATTTAACTGAACTTCATTATTGAAAAAAGAACCACGTAACATATTTGAGGTTATAAAATCCATATAAAAATGTAATAATTTGTAAACTTACCTGCTGTTCATTATGCGCACTGGATGGTCCTGGCAATACTGGCTTTTAAAAGATTTAATATTTGTTTTCCACGTGACATTCTTATAAACTTTCGGATTATTTCGAAATCACTCAAGCGTGGTCTAAAAACTGTGGATCTTTGTTCTAAAATTACTATTTCGCGAAACTGTACAAGAACATAGATTTTTCGTCAATAGATGGCGCTAGGGGTACTATTTAAGATTTATATTCTGGAGCTGGGTGCAGGGGTATTGTGTAAATCTATTTAACGACAGAAACTAATATTTCAAAATTTGGCGGTTGGTTCCCTGTTCTATATCTACATCCTATTGTATATTTATATTGGTTCTATAATATTCAATCCTATCAAATATACAGGATGTTTCAAAAAGGTATGTCACAGCGGCGGCTCTTGGCCTAAAAAAGTGGTGAAGATGAGAAAAGCTTGTCGGAGCCAAAACGAGTTTTGGTACCTATGTAGCGCCCAAATCTCATTAAAAATTCGTTAAAAAAATGTATAGTTATATAAAAATTAAACTAATAAATACTATACTATACATTATACTATATAAAAATGTCTATATAATAGACTAAATTTCAAAATATTATCGCTGCGAATACTAAATAGGTACCCATGCAACTAGTGGCCAGTGAGTGAAGAAGGATAATTTAGTTTTTAACGGAACTGCACCAGCTATTTTTCTCAAATATCACTAGCGACAGGCTGACGTCATGCCATGGCAACTGTGAACGCTTATGCAGATGGATTTCGCATTTCAAAAATGACATTCACCTATTCCTGAATCATACACAGCAAGGGACACAGGTCACTTGACCATCAAGTACCTACTGCACCGCTAATAAAGCTAGCTGTCTTTTTTAAGTTTTAGATGAATTAAAAGAGAATAAATAATTGATTTCACAATTTAGATATAATAATGTTGCTTTTATTTTTTATTTATTTGTCTCAATTTAATTATATTTTTTTGGTGAACCTAACCTTCACCTACTTCACCTGGCCGGCCGTCGCTGGTATGTCATAAATTGAATCACGCATTCCGGGGACATTGAATCCAACTTACCTTAGTAAAAAAAATGTACACAAAAAAAGTTACAGCCCTTTAGAGTTACAAAATAAAAATTGTTTTTTTTTGCATTATCCCCTAAACTACTTGAAATAAAAATGGACACGTTACTTTCTTGTTCTGGAAGCATTTTTCATACAAAAGAAACAACAAAATATAAGCGCAAAGAAAAATTTTAAGGGGGTTGTGCAGCCCTAAATCCAGCCAAACTTTTGAGTACGTTGAAATCAAATGATCAAATTTTGTGGCATCATTAGTTTAACACATTATTTTTAAAACTTTTTTGTCTCATCACTTTTTCGAAAAACTAGTTTTTTCCTAGTTGGCCATAAAAGTACAATTAGTTTCTACGGATACAATAATTACAAACAGTTCCATCAATAATAGTCAATCATTTGAAGCAATCATTTATTGTGTGAATAAGATTAATAATAAAATTTGATATTACAACGGCCTACACATTTTAGGAAATGGCAGATATGCATTTAACTTGGTTAAGTTGGATCAGGTTATTATGATTGCAATAAACTATCGGAAATATCGTAGGTGTCATGTGTATGTCAAGGCAATTGGAGGGATGCCGGTTTTCAACATCCCTTCCATGGAGAGTCTTGTATGCCAACAGTGTCTCTTTCAGCGGTTTTGTACTTGCTGTAAGTCCAATTAGTCCGCTAGCTCAGTAAAGAAACTTAAATGGACTTTTAAAGGTGCTTTGATCTGACCTGTTGAATTGATATAGAGTGAAATAAAACAATTGCTTGTTTAGCGAGAAACTGTAATTGAAAAAAGGGCAAGAAATAGAACTTATAAACTTTGAGTGTATAACTTATCGTAGGAACCTAATTTGAAAATTACAATTTACGAACTTTCCCGAAAACACCATAACACTATTCACATTTTACGGCTTCACGGCTTATTGCGTAACTTGCAACGTGGAGAAAACCTCTCCGAACTTGAAAGATAGGTGTAAGCCCTACAAAAGTCGCTAATTCACTGTTTGTCTCGACCCCTAGCCCCGCTGAAAAATATTTTGTTTATGCATTTTGAATAGCCTGTCTAGGGTCAAGTAGGCGTCATGGGCGGATACTAACATTCCCAGAAACAAGTCTATGCAGACTGGATTTATTTAGGTAACTGGCGTGAAAATATTTATTTGTTACGAAATAGATATATTTGTTTGAATATATAATTATTTGTTTGGAGATTATAGTTCTCCAACAGCAATAGTGCAGCTGCCGCAAGGCATTATACATTAAAATACCCTAATCGAAATACACCCGATAGACGATTATTTCTGACCATTGATCGTCCTTTACGGGGAACGGGTACATTCCAACCGCAAGTTGCTGGCAATAGTGGTCGTCCAATAATGGATGCAACTGATGAAGACATTTTAGAAATCATTGAATGAGTCCCTGGAACAAGTACAAGGGTAATAGCTGCTCAACTAAATGTTTTTCACAAAGGATTTGAAGGATCAGCTGCCTATCACTTAACGGTTCAAGAGTTATTGGTTGAAGATTATCCTAAAAGGATTGGATTTTGCGATTTGTTGTTAATGGAAAACACTCGAAATGTTAATTTTATTATAAATATTTTGTTTACTGACGAGGCTACCTTCAGTAGAAATGGAATAACAAACCATTATACCGAGCACATTTGAGCCGACGAAAATCCTCACGCCAAAAAAAACGACTCATTAACAAAGGACTTTCAATACATGTTTGGGCAGAATTGTGGATAACAATCTAATAGGCCCGTATTTCTTCCCAACGATTTAAATGGTGATAATTATTTGCAGTTCTTGGCAAACGATTTACAAGAGTATTTGGAAGAAGTTAATATTGCAATAAGGCAAAATATGTGGTTTCTACAAGATGGCGCTCCACCGCATTACAGTAATGAAGTCCGGGAACACCTTTGCAGGCAGTATCCTGGTCGGTGGATTGGAAGGGGTCGTGACACACCTATTTCTTGGCCACCCAAAAGTCCAGGTCTTAAACCCATAGACTTTTGCTTTTGGGAGTTTATGAAGTAGAAAGTGTATTATGTAGCAATAGAGGATGAACAACAATTAAGGGTTAGAATAATTGAAGCTGCAAATCAATTTCGTCAGAAAAATATGATTTTTCAGCGCATTCGGTTTTCTTTATTAAAACAATACCGAATGTGTATTGAAGAAAATGGGGGTCATTTTGAACATTTATTGTAATATTATATTTATAGAGGTTATAGCCATTTTTTGTGCTTGTTAATTCAGTAGGTTAAAGCCATTTATTTAGTTGCACGTAATTTTTTAAAGGTTAATCAAAAGAGCCGTAACTCAATAAAAACTGTTTTTTGAAAAAGTGATAAGAGGCAAAAAATTTTTTAAAAATATTGTGTTAAACTAATGCCACAAAATTCATTTGATTTGAACGTACTCAAAAGTTGAGGTGATTTAGGGCTGCACACCCCTCTTAAAAATTTTCTGTGCGCTTAGATTTTGTTGTTTCTTTTTTATGAAAAATGCTTCCAGAACAAGAAAGTAACGTGTCCATTTTAATTACAAAATGCCAAGTAATTTAGGAGATAATAAAAAAACATTTTTTATTTTGTTGGGCTGTAACTTTCTTTGTGTACACTTTTGTACTAAGGTAAGTTGGATTCAATCAATTTATTTTTGTCCCCGAATGTGTGATTTAATTTGTGACATACCTTTTTGAAACACCCTGTATAACTACATCTGGTTTAGAAGACTTAACATTAAAGGGAACTATAATTGATACAATATCACATAAAAAGGAATCAAAAGTTAATATGAAACAAATTTATTTTAATTGTACAGGATAAAGATAAATATATTGTTCTGTCAATCAATAACCTAGTTTATTCAAAGATTGATATTTTACAAATATTAACAGTAAAATCAATAAAGCATAATCATAATAAAAATAACATTAATCGAGTCCTTTAACCTTAAATTAAAATGAAGAAGAGCAACACAAACATCAGTGCTCCTTCTTTTCTTTCCGCTTTCGTTTTCTCTTTTTATCACTTTGAAAGTCTTCGTTTTTCCTAGCTAAACACGGTTTGCAGTACCAGTTCTCATTTTCATCGGGTGGTACCTGGATACCGACGCACACCCAATGATACCACGCATCGCAACCGTCACAACCGATCATGGGTCTACCATCATCTTGGATACCGCAAGTAGGGCAGATCCACACTTCGTTTCCGTGCTCGTCAATCTTTTTAAACGTTTGTTGTTCGATTTTCTTGGGTTTAGGGGTAGGTTTGGGCTTAGTAGGGGTTAATCGAGGTCGACCAGGCGTTTTAAGAATTGGAGCAACAACTGTTTCCTCGATGGCTACCGGCTTTTCAACGGGCGGTACTGGAGACAGCGTCGATTTTGGTTTGGGAGGGCCTGTCACCAGTGCCGAAATTTTAGCAAGTCCGACCGGGGATGGCTCCCGTTTTCGTTCCGGAATAATATCTTCAGTCTTCCTTACTATTGGCTTTATATTTAACTTTCCTGGCGTGTCAGGTCGCGGAGACGGAACTTTAAGTAAAATCTTTGGTATTGCAGGATTTTCTAATACTTCGATTTTTTCTTTTTCTGCTTTTTCGGCTTTTTCCTTTTTCTTGATCTTTTTCTCTCGTTTAACCTACAAATATACAAAATTGTTATGGTTTAACATTTAAAAAAATTATGACAAACATTAGTTGCATAGTAAACTCAAGAAAATTGTTTTAGTGTCATTATATATACTTTTTAACTAAAGCGTGTCAACATATTTATTACGATTTAGGGGTGAGCGGTGAACAGCTTTTGACGAGAGAATTATTTTCTCAAATTAGTTATTAAAAAGTATCTTGTTATTAAATAGGTAAAAGAAATAATAAATAAGACTTACTCACAATCAGTTTAATTTAAATATCTAGACGACCGGTTTCGATTTCTACAATATGCAAAGCATCTTCAGGTCTCGATACAAAGTCAAGTAAATGCTGAAATAATAAAACCCATATTAGAGTGTTGTCTTATAAAGATAAACAAAGTTAAATGATATAAATTACAGTAATTATGCCAATATTACATGTCTGTAGTTTTTTAAAATGAATAAACTGTTTAAGCAGACAGGTAAGACCCACAAATTGGTATAAAAATAGTCTATTGAATTGTAATAAATTTGTAAGTAATGTTTTATTTATTTACTAATTTATTACAATTCAATAGACTATTTTTATACCAATTTTTGGGTCTTACCTTGTCTACTTAAATAGTTTATTCATTTTGAAAAACCACATTCGTGTAATATTGGCATAATTACTGTAATTTATATCATTTATCTTTGTTTATCTTTATAAGACAACACCCTAATATGGGTTTTATTATTTCAGCTTTTCATTAACTTTTTATCGAGGCCTGAAGATGCTTTGCATATTGTAGAAAGCGAAACTGCTCGTCTAGATAGTTAAATTAAACTGATTGTGAGTAAGTCATTTATTATTTCTTTTACCTATTTGAAATGAACTCACACAAGCAACACATTCATGATTTATCTTGTTATTGTTTTGACTAATTTTCATGGACACGACATTTAGCGTTGATGCTGTTATAAAAATTTTACTCAATTGTATGGATTAAAACTCAACGTTAAGAAAACTAAATATAGGATAGAAAACGAAATTACGTATAGAATGGCGGTATCTCTCGGAGATGCAGTACTAGACATAGTGGAGACACTCGTGTATTTAGGTAGTAACAGAGAAATGGGACCCAGACGTAGAAATTAAAAGCCGAATAGAACGGATCCGAACAAAGTTTATAAAAATTAGAAACGTCCTTTGCAGTCATCATCTTAGTATTGACTTATTGACATATGATATAACACATTGTTATATCTTTCTAGCACTTTTATATAGAATACACCATGCTTAAACATTTAAAGTATTTGAGATGTGGGTATACATAGTCACAAATGAAGAGGTTATTAGACTGCTAAACAAAAAAACAAAACTGGAAGGAAGCTGGACTACTTCGGTCACATTATGAGCTACCCTAAAAAATATTAACTTGCATCTCATCTTCCAGTGAAAGATCTAAGGTAAACGTGTTCCGGCAGAAGAATAACATCATGATTTAGAAGCTGAAGACAATGCTACGACATAATTTTTTTTATTACTGTTGTAAATAACGCCATGATAGAGAACATGGTAGCCAAAATGATATATAACCATTGAAAACGATCGAATGACTTTTTGCAGAATGCAGAATTACTCTTATATGGCCTCGATGGTATTTAAAGCCAAAATATTTGTACAACCATTATCCTCTTCGATGTAAGAGACCAATCAATTAAAAACCCCTTCTCGACTATGATCCGTTTGGGCTTAACTTCGTTACAATGTCCATCTTTGTTCACACTCCCAGACGTCTCTTATTCACATTTTTCCCGTTTTTATTGGGAATTAATTACACCCTCCCCGTTCGCAACCTAATAATTTTCATCCAAACTTGACATAACCTAAACAAACCTTATCAGAATTAATCAATTTTAACAACTGCAGATATCTCGGTACCCCGGAAGGACTACGTAAACCAAAATAGAGTTGAAGGATATTTTTTTTCTACGCTACCACAATCTAACCAAAATAAACCTAGTCTAATATAACCAATAAACCCCTAATCTAACCAAACCAAATCTAAACGAATCTAAGCAAACTTTACAAAACCTCACACCTCACCAACTCACATAATCTCGTTCGCTTCGCTCTCTTGCACCTCGATACATATCCTTTTCTGTAAAATAATTAATTACATAATTAATATTTATGGCTCGTCTGCAAAACTAAATTAGAAAATCGTTCCAGAGCACGTTTTCAATACACTACATTAATTGGCCACTGACAAATGGGAACGGGAACATTAACCCGAATCCTCTAAGTGTTAATTTAATTATGATCAATATCGTTCAATGGTTCAGATCCCTGTTACCAGATCTTTGAAATATTTGCTGTATTTAACTATTAAGTGAATAAAACTTTTTTCTTAATTGACGTTTACGTGTCATGGATCAGTTGATATTTCCGACCCTTAGCTAACTTACATACAATTTTCTCGAAGTCTAGTAATTTTTATAAAATCTTTTCCTCTTACTCGCTTTTAAAATAAGTAGTGTAAGTTTTTTCCAGTGCCAAATTATAAAGTCCCAAAATATATTATTGCATTGGGCATTAGAAACCGTAACTGCAGACTATGCGATAAGGAACTAGAAACTGTAAAACATGTATTATGCGATTGCGAGGCGCTGGACCGCTAAAGACAAATCTATATGGACAACCAAGAGGAGACATAATAGGCTTCAGCTTCAGTGATAACGTAGATCTTATTCAGATAGGTCCAGGGAAGAAAAAAAAACTATCATACATTTAGTTTTTTTAACGTTGAGTTATAATCCATACTGATTACAGGTCTGGTTTGAAAGAAAGTCTTTGTAAATTATAAAGACCAGTTTTCCCCTTCTCAAATGGTGACTATTAGCAAGATGTTGGTGCCAAGGTATAAAATCGGTGCCTGGAACTGACGCGACGTTATCGAAAGTGTGTCTTTTCTTCACGTTATCGAAAGTGTGTTTCCACAACTCTTTGACTAGTTTACAAAGTCAGCACAGCGCTCATCTGTGACAAAAAATGTTCGTATTTTAGGCGTGATCAACAGCAGATTAAGTCAAACTATCAAGCATATACTAATTAGAGGCAGCTTTTCAATCAGAAAGACCCGTGTATTAAACTATGTAATATATTTTAATTAATATATTTTTGTAAGAATTACTTTGCAAAAATTAAAATGGGACAAGAAATCACCTCTCCTTTTCAAACAACAAAGGGACTAAGACAAGTGTTCAATTTTCTCACATGCGAAAATTCATGTTATTTTTTCCCTGTATTATTAACTATCCTTTTATCACAATTTTACAATGAACACCTTAGTCCAACCCTTAATAATCCTTCCTACTTACATTTTACCCCCTCTCCATTAGAAATACAGACAGTTAAGATAGCAAAAAAGAAAGACACTCTCTTGATTATCAGCTGTCGATAAGGACAGAACTCTCTTGATGGTCGCCCGTCGTTAAGGACAGACCATTTCTTAACTCTCTTAGTTTGGCCATCACTAGAGGCAGACGTTCTCTCTCTTGATCTCTCTCTCTCTCTCTCTCTCTCTCTCTCTCTCTCTCTCTCTCTCTCTCTCGCTCTCTCTACGCTTATCAAGAAGAACAGCATCTATCTTGGCTGTTTTTCTATCGTAATTACCTCTTTCCCGCTTTAGTTACGCGAACAATATCGAAAATACTGTATAAAATCGTGTGCAGACAAAGTGTGCTCTATATCGTTATATATTTGCGAAACACGTGTTCAGAAACCGGTGCATCGGACAGATTTCGCGGGTGAAGAATAACCACGAGTGAAGACCGAAAACAACCGTGAGAGTGTGGAGCAGAAAAAATATTGGTAAGACTTTCTATAAACTTAATTTGCTAGTGTCTGTATACCTTTTATTACTTATCCTAATTTTATTGAACCAGCCCTATATAATACAGTCCACATACACGGAAATTATATTAATAATTTCCCACATATGTACTCCCTTTTTGTACAACAAGGCTGCTGTCTGTCACCCACCTTATTTAAAATCTATTTGGACAGATCCTTAGTGAAATGGGTAAAAAAATGTAGAAACATGGGAATAACGGTGGAAGAAAACACGCTATATACACTTTTCTTTGCGGATGACCAGGTAGTAATTGCCGAAGATAGCTACGATCTTAGCTATATGGTAAGAAAACTGCAAGAAGAATATGAGGTGGCAGGTCTTAACATGAATATGACAAAATGTGAATATCTATCAGTGGGAACAGATGAAATATGTGACCTAGTCTTGGAAGACGACAAAATCAAAGGCGTATAATCCTGCAAATATTTGGGGGTCATTTTCAATAAGAAGGGAAATAGCGCAGATGAAAACAGGGAAAGAATAAACAAGGGTAGAGCAGCGACCCGTGCCTTAAACTCTCTTCTCTGGCAAAAAACAATTCGACGAGAAACCAAAAAACACATTTACGGTAGTATAGTCCCAAGTATTACACTTTACGGTTCGGAAGTATGGGACGTCACCAAAGCTAATAAAAACAAACTTATGACGACAGAAATGGATTATCTGAGACGAAGCTGCGGTAGATCTAAACTAGAAAGAGTTAGGAACGAACAAATAAGAAACGAAATGAAAATGGGGCGAAATATCAATGATGACATAGAAAGAAAACAATTAATCTAGTTCGGACATGTTAAAAGAATGCCAGAGTACAGATGGCCTAAAAGAGTACTGGAATGGATCCCTCCTAAAAGAAGAAATAGAGGACGACCACGGAGAAGTTGGCGCAACGATATTGATGAAGCAATGGCGGCAAGAGACTTAGAAGAGGCAACTGCGTATGACAGAAAAAGATGGAAATTGGATGCGGAGAAGCGGCGACAGCCGTAATCAATCCGTTATTATATATAATATATTTTTGTAAACCTTAAAACACCAATAAATATATAAAAAATTACCTTTTCCTTAACTTCCTTTTTCAGCTCTTTAATCTTTTTCTTCTCGCCCTTCTCCTTTATTTTATCTTTCTTGTTTTTCTTCTTTATCTTGTCTTTCTTTTCTTTTTTATGTTCCTTACTCTTTTTCGGTATGATATCAGATGTCGGAACTAGTGGTGGAATTGCTGAAGTACTAGAACTGGTTTCAGGTACCTGAATTGGTTGTTGTTGTACTGTAGGAGGAGGAGGAGGAGCAGGCAGCTGTGGTATAATTTCGACAGGGGGTGGTCTTACTTCTGGCGGAGGCGGTCGAATTTCTAAGGGAGGCGGTTCTCTAACGGGCGGTTCCTTAACTTCCTTTATTTGTTTTGGTTCTTTAACTTTTGGCGGTGGAGAAGGAGTTATGTCCATCTGTGAAGGAAAATTAGGTATAGAAGGAGGGAAATATGGATTTTTACCAAAGTTAGGAAGGCCTCCGAGGTGCGAGAATGGAAACATGGGCGTTGTTAACTGTGGCGGTATCAGTCCAGGTCCCCCAAAGCTTGTTAAGAACGGGAATGGCATAGGAGGGAGACCCATATGCGATCTTATATGCGGTTCTGGCGTTTTAGGTCTATTTACAATTATATCCATTAATTCCGATTCAGTAAACACAGGACGATGTTGAGTCTTTCTGGGTTTCTTAATTTTGGGTTTAGGATCTTTTCGTCTCCTTTTTTCTTTCGGAATAGGAGGACTAGGATGATATACGATTTCCGGTGTTCTGGGGGTTGTCGGTGGTGAACTGTCATCGAAATAAGTACTAGGACTACGCCTATTCATTGGAATAGGTTCAATTGTGATGTCGCTAGAAAGACTGATTTTATTAACTATATCTGTGCCCTCATCTATAATCATATTAGGTGTATTAGCCCTAGATTCTTTCTTAGATTTATTTTCTTTAACATTTGATATCTTTCTTAAAATATTAATTTTCTTTTTATCCGGTTCATTAAATAGTTTTTCTACCTGCTGAAGCATTTGAGGTGTCATCGGTGGCACAGGAGAATGCGTTTTCAGTGGAATCGGCGTTATTGTTGTATTAAACTTCTCAGTCTTAGCTTTAGCCGCGGCTAATGCCTTGTCGGGAGTATCTCTCATCAATTTCTGAGGAGGAACATGACTTACTTTAATTTCATTGAGTCTAGGAGGTTGGAAGAATGGTAAAGGTAAAGAATGGGGTGGTAAGTGAGGATTATTTAAATTGGGCGAGTGAGACGCAGCAGCAGCCGCAGCTGCCGCCGCTGCTGCAGCCTTCTGTTTCATTTTAACTACGTCTTTCATAGAAGCATTCTTCTTTACCATCTTCTCCTCAAATATAGGTTTAAATAATTCCTGAAAAGTAGTTTTCCATTAATTTCATTAACAAAAACAGTAAACAAATTTAAAAAGTTAGTAAATAAATAAGAATAGTCCAGAATATAAATACACAAATAGAAAAATAATGGTGTATTCGTTACTCTGCGAGATTATTTTCCTATTTTGGGACAAAAAAATTCTGGTACTAGTGGGCATTGTCGATATTAAATTAAATTGTTAAGAAGACAGATATTACTGTCTTCTCAACTTATTAAATGTCTAAAATTTTCCCATATCTAATTAATATTAACATTAATCTAAATAAATATTGGGGAATTCGCACAATGAGGTACCCACCATACAAATAAGAGTTGAAGTGAGGAAATGACAAGAAAAATCTTTACCTTAATTTACACAAAACCTACAAAAAATATAAAAGGATAAGTTATAAGTTCAAGAGCTTATCCTTTTATATTTCTCATGTACCTAGTGTTGCTTTATAACAGATAGGGCCTTTTCTTCTTAAGTTATAAGTTGAGTACTATATGGTCATCATATTACAAAACTACGTCCCAACCATCAATTATTGTTAATCTCATATAATTGTTAACACACAAAAAACAACTAACCAACTTCGTCCGTTAACACTTAATCAGTTATTCATGTTTATGAACTTGTAACTTAAAAAGTTTTACATTTACAAGGTACCAAATGTTGTCTTTTAACATACAGGGCCTTCTATGCTTAAGTTATAAGTTAAATATTATACCACTTTCAAATATAAAACATATTCAATCCTATTTCACCCATCAACAATAAATTTTCAAGAATCCATCTTCCTCATATGTCTAGTTTCCATTTTCCAGGTACCAAATGTTGAAGAAACATAAGTGGTCTTATATTACAATCTCTAATTCACACCACTTTTAGACGTATGTATAGTTGGTTGCCTAACAATACCCACATAATTTTCTGACCATAATTCATTCCACATACATTACTCAATAAAACAATTTTCTCCATGTTCTTAAAATAAAATCAGGACAAATTAACAATTTAAAACAACAACATTGATGGTTGCTACTGTTATATTATTTTAATTTTTTAATATTTTTAATATTTTTAATTTTAATTTTTTAATTGTTTAAATAGCGTTGGCTTCTGTCTTAAGTAGACTAAAACATAAAGTTACACTGACTGCTTTGTTCGGACTTCCGTCCTAACTTGTCAAGATTGTCATTGCAATCATTTGCTTTCATCAAGTCCTCGCAGACACACCGTCTCAGGACCAGCAGCTTTACGTGGGGTCATACGTCGCCATGTTACCAAATCCACTGGTAACTTTACCATCATAATATTTAATAACACATAATGTAAACTAAATTTAAACAAACAATTTTTACCCACATATTAATACATGTATAACTACAAAGTGTTAACCACATTTTGTATTAACCTTGGTCAAAATTTAAATTTCACGTTATTTTTAATTAAGTGGTTATATACTTTTTAGGACACTGATGATGGAATATGGTTTCCGAAAACGTTTTGTTATTTAGCCCGATTGGGTTTTTAAATTATATACCTTTTATAAAGGATTTTTAATAAAAATTTTTGTTATATATGGTATGCAGCCAACTACAGTAACTTAGATTCCTTGTGAATGACTAGGCTTTTAACGGAATGACGTGTGTAGCGTTTTATATTTAATGTCTATATAATAATATAAATTTGGTTTTAAATTTTTATAATACGTCCCTGTTTGTTTATCTCGTCAGTACGCATAAAGATTGCCAAGAAATCTGTGTTTGTCTTTTACGAAAAAATTTGAAGTTGAGATTCGTAAATGCGTAATAACGCTGAAAAATATTTTTTTTGTCTATGTTTACTTTCAAATCCCATCACCTTTTGTTACATTGTCAGGTTAAAATTAGGGTAGCTAGAATAATCAATAAATACGTGTAATATCTGCTATTTTAAAGTAGAATATTTCAAGTTTTTTTTGCCGAGATAGGCAGAAGAAAAAAGAGGTTTTGTTGTCGTTCGTCGTTTAAAACGAATATCAAGGGGGATATTGTTTGTTTGGGTTTTGTAGAAATAGGTTCTTAGAAAAGAGATTGCAAGTCAGGTATTCAATTTTTATACGTCGCAAATGGAATCCTCTACGTTGTTTCGTTGTGTTTTGTTATGTCAGCGTTTTGTTTGTTTTCAAGTTATATGAACGAATTTTTAAGTTCGTCATTCATGCCTGGGTCGCCGAGCAGTTCGCTGTCCCCAGCTTTGTTGTCGTTTTTCTTGTTTGATCCAGCCCATCTACGTCAGATCGGCATTCCAAATTATGGAGATGGTCTTCTTTTGTTCCTGAGTATGGAAATGGTTCCATTTGTTCCAGAGTTTCGTCCTTGCAGCTCCAGTCTCAGAGATGTAGCAAGTTTCGGAGTTATGTGCGTGTTTATGAGTGAAATTCAGGTAACTTTTATTGTTTGACAGACATTTTTTTGCTAAAATAATAATTGCTTTTCATTGTTTTAAAAGATAATTTTTTTATTTGTAATAACTTATATTTGACATAGTTTATACGTCAGTAACATTAGTAAGTTTTCGTTACATCTCCTGAATTTGTAAATTAGTAAAACGCATGTAAGTTTTTTTGTATTTTGTCAAACAAACCGATGCCTACGTGACAAACGTGTTAAAACCGATTGCCTACGACATATGAAAAATGTTAATGGGAACAATATTTGAAAACACAAGTTAAGCAGAGTTAAAATACCGATCAACAAAAATAAATATATATTTTAAACTGCTGGTAAAAAATCAAAGTCAAAAAACACAAACCATTAATTAAAAATATAGATGATAAACTCACCTTATTGATCTTTTTCTCACGTTTTTCTATTTTCTTCTTCATAGCACTTTCGCTAAACATGGGTCCATGCATCGTTGAGGCAGTTGCTGGTGCAGGCGCTGGAGCTGGAGGAGGTGGAGGCGGTGGCTCAACCGGTGGCGGTGGGAGAGGAGCTTTAGCTTCAGGAAGTTTTCCTTCTCTAGCCGGCGATAGAAAACCAGACGTCGTCATCATCACGCTGCTGATCTCTCGCGTAGGACGACCTCCTTCATCTTCGCGCTTTGGACGCTTGAATTCTGGAGAAATGACGTCGGCGGGCTTCTTAAACTGAGCGTTGTTTGAGCTTGTACCATCGTCGAGGATCTCTTCTTTAATCGAAGTCGCTTCTTCCGCTTTTGGTTCGCTTTCTTTATTGATGTAAAAATATAGTTCCATTAAAACTTTACATAATCAGAGAGTGACAGATCAGATTATCAGTAAAATGACGGATGTATAGACAACCCCTAGAATGGCCGAAGGGAACATATTGTTACATAAGCATGATCAGTTGGTATCATATTTCTGTAATGGGACCCCAAAAAATTGTTTTGTATGTCATTGAACACTTCTATAATGTATCTATCAAAAGTTCTAATACAGTTTTTTAAAAAATTTTCTTAATAAAGAAGATATCGATACATTTTTGGCAAAGTAACGTAAGTCACCAAACACGATTTTTAGAAAAAACAATTTTTTAACTCAACCTGGTTAAACTTATTTAAATTATGACTCAAAAAACTTGTCCTACTTGTCCTAAAAAAGGTTTAAAGTAATTCTAGGCTTACTACACTTTGGCAGATCCTTTTTAACAATAATAGTGTTAGTTTAATTGAAAAACATGATTTTCGCCAAAAATGTCACTTACTTTACTTTGCCAAAAATGTATCGATATATCCTCCTCAATCCTTTAGCCCTTGTCAGGGCGTAGTGACACCCTAAATATTGTTAGTCTGCTGTCTCCATTGACTGCGATCTTGTGCCATATGGACGGCTTCATGTAGGGATTTTCCCACCAAACTCTTCATTTGGTCTACCCATCGTATTGGAGATCTTCCTCTTGGTCTTCGGCCTTCTACCTTTCCTTCTACTACCAATAGTTCCATGGTGCCCGTTCTTCTAGCTATGTGGCCGAAGTAAGTTAGGTATGCTTGGTTTACTTTTTTTAGTAGCCTGTCTTTTATATAAAGCTCTTCCAGAATTGACAGGTTGGTTCTATGTTCTGTCCAGGACACGCGTAGAATTCTTCTATATACCCACATTTCGAAGGCTTCGATCTTACTCCTATCGATTTTTTTGAGAGTCCATATTTTTTTGAGAGTCCATACATATGGACGTCCATACATATCGATATATAACCCTGTTATTTTCGACATTCTTCAATAATCACACTGTATCTCGCTAATGCGGGGAGCTATTGATGATTTGATTGGGTAATCGTTACTTTAATAAAAAAAGAAGTGATGATATCTTAACTACTTTTTCTATACCCTGCAAAATATACCAATTTGGGAGACCCTGTACAGATTTTTTATTATTTTGTAAAATGACAACACTATGCTTGTCGAGATTTGCGCACTAACAAAGATAATATAAATGATGTATAATATTAGACTCAGCGAATGCTATAAAATGTGTCACAAACATACTTCTAAGTGACTACCACAAATATATATCTACAATATGGTTGTCATTATCATCATCATTGGCTCCATGGTGGGTCTTGGCCTGCTCAAGGAGAAGTCTCCATTCTCTCCTATTCTTCGCCTTGGCTTTCCAGTTTCGTACTCCCAACATTCTTAAGTCTTCCTCCACCTGATCCTTAAATCATGGATGACTTCTACCTTTGTTGGGATGTTATCTTTCAATCTTTCATCGTCAATGTCCTCGAGTTGGATTTCTGATTCGTGGAGCCCTGTCTCACCTCTTATATTTAGCCTTTCCTCGAAGTTTTCTGCCCATCTTTCTAGTGTATAGTACTGATCACCAATGATCTCCCTTGTTCTATTTCTAACGATTGATAATCTACATTTGAATTCTTTCCTGTTTTGGTTAATCCTCTTGTAGAACTTTTGCGTTTCTGCTTGTTCCTTATAGTTCTCTATTCTTTTAGTTGGCTCTCTATATGCTCTTTTTTTGGGAATTCGTTTTTCTTCTCGTCTCAGCTGCCTATACTCTTCCTCTGTTTGTCTCGTTCTTCGCCCTTGGAGTCTTCTATATGCCTGATTTTTCTTTGCATTGCTTGTGCGCATTCCTCATCGTACCAGTCTGACCTTCATTTTTTACGTTTTTGCTTTCCGATAACTTCAGTTGCCACTTCTTCCAATACGGCTCTACACTGCCCCAAAAGTTGTTAATATCTTCAACTATAAAATCCGTGCAGCCTTCCAGTTTGCTTTCGAGACTTTCCTTGAATCTCTTAGCTATATCAGCGATCTTCAACGCTTCTACTTTAAACCTTTCCTCTTTCACTGTTTTTTCTGTCTTTGCATTGGAGATTGTAGCTCTTAGTTTAGCTTGTAGTAGGTAATAGTCCGAGTCTATGTTCGCCCCGCGTCTTGCACGTACGTCTATCACGTTGCTGAACTGTCTTGCATCAACCACACCACCATGTTCATTAAGGAGGCTAAGTGTATTAATCGAGTTCCGTTGTTGTTTGACTCTTCATGTAAACTGTGAATTCCAATGGTTGGCATGTATTCCCTCTCCTTACCTATCTTTGCATTAAAATCTCCTATTAAGACCTTTACGTCATTTCTAGGACAACATATGATATTTTCCAGTTGTTCATAAAATTGTTCTTTTTCTTCATCCAACATCTCCTCAGTTGGTACATGGTCATTTATTATTGAATATTTAAAGAATTTACCTCTGATTATTAGTGTGCATAATCTTTCATTGAGAGGTTGGAAGTCTATTATAAGGTGCTTTACTCTTTTATTGACTACAATATTTATCTACAATATGGTACATATTTTATATTTCTATTCTATTAACAGATATTTCTTCGTAAGCTATCATCACAAATTTTATTATTAATTGCCCTCCGTCCAAGAGAAAAATATGTTATAAATCACTGAGTCAATAAAGTCTCTGGAGATATAACAATTCAGACGGAGATATGTTCTGAATGATGTTCTTGCAAAAGGTACTTGAAAGACATTATTTAAATGGTAAAAGGCGGTATTTTACAATAAAACACGAGGGGATTACAGTTGAATCAGATTAATTGAGCAGAAGATACTTAAAGCAACAATGCAGCACGTGTCAAATCCAAATATAATTGACCACGGGTCTATTTACAAGATAATTTAGACTAGCAGGAGACTTACAAATCAGATACATAGATAAACTTGATATGGCACAAAAGTGAAGAAACATTTTTGAAATGTTTAAAATTTGACAAAATATTATAATATTTACCTTCTAGGAGAGGAAACATAGGCGGCATATGTTCATGAATATGAACTGGTCTTGTAACAACTTCTTGACTTCCTGGTTTTAAAAAATTCAAATTGTCTTCTTTGTCTATTGGAAATTTTGGAACGGGATTAGCTGGAGGACAAAAGTTAACATATGTCACATATTCTTCTAGTTCCCCCAGATTTATGCCAAGTTCCTAAAAATAAAGTGATTATTATATTTAAGGGAAATCTTTTGAAGATTAAATTATTGGTGAGTAATGGGCATAAGCAAAATATATCTTATAACCGTAATTGAAGTAGTAATTCTAGTGTTGAAAGGGGCGATTACAGTAACTTTATGTAAAATAAACACAGTTACAATCACTATAATTGATTGAAGAAATAGTTGTCAGCAACAGGATTGCAGCAATATTGCCTGTGGATTTCTGGCAACTTCTCTCCATGCAATGTAATGTAAATTATAGGTTTCTATCGATTATTTCCCACCTCTACGAGTTTCATCTCTTTTTATTTCACAAGGTAACTGTGTTTTCTATCTCTTACGTTAAAAACCGGGTGGTAAAGCACTCACCACTGTATATCCAAATAAAAATGTATAAAATGTATATTATATAAAAATGTATGTATAAAATTATATCCACAAAAAATGTTTTTTTGACAAAATTTAATGTTTTTTATTTATTATTTTACACAGTTCCTTACAATACCTTCCACGCATATTCACTTCTGTTTATCTTTTTTGGTATGATGGCGGTAGTGTCACAACACGTAAATCATATGTTTGGAGTTCTTACAGTTTTGACTGTTTTTTGATAAATAGCAAAAATAATTACGGGTAAGTTATTAATCATGTTGACATAGACCTGTACTCACTCTTTAGAATATAATATGTAACCAAAAATGTGTTTTTGTATCATTTTTGGACACACCAAAAATACGGTTTCACAGTGAAACCAGTGGACAACTACAGTTTCTTTATTTCAGGTATCATGCAACATAACAAGTGGAGTTATAAGCAACTAGAAATGTTGTCCGAAGATGATTTGCAGGATTTATTGGCAGAAATACCCTCAGATAAGGAGTCAATTGTCAGTTCGGGTTCCGATAGTGACTCAGAGGATTTACCAGTGGTTCATCGAGATACTATTCTAGAAACATCTCTACCAAAAAAAAAAATACAAATTCTATCAGACATTACTATATTATTGAGCACTAAATTAGGAAAATGTTCATCAATCAAAAACGGAAATAAATCTATGAGTGTTACACTTGTCTCTCCAAAGGTTTTGAGAACAATTGAAAGTAGAGAAGACGAAAAGGACAGTGACGATGATGGGAAAACACACAAGATGCCAATAAAACTAATAAAAAAGAGTGATCCGAAAGGAAAACGGACAGTAGATGAACCTGCTTAAAATACTAAGAAAACATCTTAAGTCGCAGAAAAGAAAAATATATCAAAAAATCCAGGCCTTATTTGGAATAAACAATTTATTCTAAATACTATTATTCCTTTCAATATCGAACATGGACCATTTGTTAAGAGTACAATAGAATATCCTTATGAAATTTTTTTATTCTTGATAAATGAAAATATACTAAAACATTTAGTATTTCAAAGTAATTTGTATGCGACCCAAGAAGGTAAACTGTTCAAGCCAACATCTAAACATGAAGTTTTACAATTTTTAGCTGTAAATATCAAGTTATGGATATAAGTCATCATCTAACTACAGAGATTACTGGTCTTCACAGGATATTTTGAGAGATTCTAAAAGAATCAACAGAAACAGGTTTAGTTGGTTACTTGGGTATATACATTTGAATGATAATTCCCATCAACCTGATAGAGGAACTCCTAATTATGATAAACTTTATAAAATAATTCCGATTTTAGAAGAGCTACTGGAATCTTTTCATCAGTACTACAAGCTAGAAGAGAATCAGTCTATCGATGAAAGTATGATTCGTTTTCAACCTTTTGAGAAGACAAATTCCTTAATTACTGCAAATTTATGAAATTTAAAACTTGACAAGTGAACATAAACTGAATCAATCATTCAGTTAAATTTTTGTAAAATCATTTCCATGCCTTACCTGAAAGGCGAGCCCCAAGTGATCCAAATTAGCTTCAGTGTTACCAAATTCATTTGCATAGTCATTAGTAACTTTCGTAATTTGTTTAAGGTATTGGACCAAAAGATCAGTAAGAACTTCCAGAGGTGTAGAGTTTATGCTATGCCAACCTATGGTTTGTAAAAGTTTGACCACTGCAATTTTGCAGTGGTCTCTACCATATTGGGCACTCATGATTAGTGTATATTTTAAATAGTAAATCTGTAAAAGTCCACTTGGATATCCACAGATTTCTTTTTGTGAAATTTATAAGTTGAAGGTAAGTCGTAGGATAATTCTGCTAAAACTTCTGCTTTGACTCCTAAAGAATCAGCTTGTTTTAAAATAAAAGACCTAAAAAAACAGAATTAATAATACATCAATTAAAGTACAAATATTTTTACCTAGTAGAAGTTTTATGCAATGAGTAAACAGCTTTTCTGGACAAATTTATGGCTATTTCTAAAAATCTCATATCAATCCCTGCATTATGTTTTGTTCCAAAAGGAGGATTCATTAACACAGTATCAAAAGATTTGTAGAATCTAAGTAAATAAAAAAATATGTACTTAAATCAAAAAACCAAATTATTTTTTTCATTAAATACTATACAACTAAATATTTTAGAATATAATATTTAATGTATATGCAAATGCAAAGTTGATTGGAATCACAGCAGTTTCATCAAAACTGTATTGATAAACTTATTATTGGACAATAAATACGTTTTTTATGTGATCTTTCATATATTGGTCTTCTTCTTCATTCCAGGGTTTAGTCTTGCTTTGCAATCAAACTTACTCCATTACTTCATAGGATTAGTATTTTTAGTTAATGGAATTTCGTCCATTATTTTTGTTTTATCTTGTTTCCATTTTAGTTTGTATTTTTTATTTTCTCATTCATCAGGCAGATATTCAGTTTTTGTCAGCTTTTTCTCTGCCTCTCAAGGTTTGGAATGTCCTTCACTATTAGAAATCACTTTTCACAAACTTGGCTTTTAGAGTTATCTTTTTGCATCATTATTACCTAGTTTTTAAATTCATATGACTGAGTAGATGTGGCCAAGGGCTCAATAAGTTTTATTGTTTTTCAATATTCTGTTGATTGTTTTGATATTTCTACTTCGGAAATCAAAATTTCAAAATAAATTTATTTCAAAGTGAAATTGTGGTTAATTCCTAATAAAAAATGGTAAATAATATTAAAACACAACAAGAAAATATCTTCAAAACAATATTCATTTATTTAGGCATTCCAGATGGGACCAAATCACACAGAAATTATTTATTTGCAGAGCATTTCCAAAAGAAGAATTATTCTTAAATTAAGTTTCTTGGTAACAGTGAGTGTATGTACTTTTATCATTTTTGTTTTAAGACTAATACTTTAAGATTTTAAATATCTATTTCATGAGTCTAAAATGAGTACTAACCAGCTGTCACCTACTAAATAAACAAAAGTTTTCCTATTAGATCACAACTTACTGATATAATCAATTATATTTTGAAATTAATTACCTTGAAGAAATCCCTTTTAGGACATCACACTGTACAATGTCAATATTACTTAATTCGTGATCTTCAATATTTTCTTGACATATATTAATGGCATCCTCATCAATTTCAAAGCCTATAACTAACGCAGCATTTAGCACTGCTGCACCAATGGTTAGGGCTCCACAACCACTTCCTAAATCTGCCACTAATTTTCCATCAATATCTCCATATTGTGACTAAAATAATGTGCTTACATAAACAATTTATATATGTCTGTGTCTTCAGGATTTAAAAGATCGAATTAATTTATCTATCTTAAATTTATTTATTTTTCAACTAACATGAATATTGAATTGAAGTACATGTACATACCTGTACAGTATATAACACATGAGATCCCAAGTGCCAAGGTGTAATGTATTGTTCCAATAATATTTTAGGTTTATCAAACTCTGAAATACACTGCAACCTTTCTTCCAGTCGCTTTAATTTTAGACAGGGAAACATTAGGGCTTCGCTTCAAAGCGGGGCAACACTGGTAATATTAAATTGCCAAATGAAGAATCTTGAGTAATAAAATATCCAGTTGACTGAGCGTTGGCAGTTTGCAAAGCTGATCTTTGAAGTGAATTGATAGAATGTCCGTCTGATGATTGAGTTGTAGATCCTAAAACTGGGAGTGCTGTAGAGCTTAAAGTAGACGCTACACCTTGTTTGAGGAGTAACTGTTTCTTTATCTGTAATTCTTCCAAAATTTTCCGATTTGCAAGTTCTAAAATAAAAATATAAAATTATAATGTGAATAAATACAGTGTAATAAGCTTACCTCTTTGAGCGTTAGGCTGTGGAAAAGCCATCAAAACTCAATAATATGCTCTTAAAATGTAAACATGCGCCTTCCTCGGCCATAAAAGTAGCAATTTTATTTTTTTAATAGGCAAATAAAATGACACACTTCCTCACTTTGACGTTGACAGCAAGAAGAAGATAAATATTAGTAGAAAAAAGAAGAAGAGACTACCACAGATAGGTAACAAGGATAGCCAAGGTTAAACGTTAAACGCACGTTTTTATTTGTGCACCCTTCCGTTTAGTGGCACTGCTAGTTTCGTTTCTGTGCATGCATGGAGGACAGAATAATAAACCACAGAATAATAAACAATTTACAGACTTCTTTCATTAAAAAAAGAAGAATTTCTATAATCAGTGGAAGTGTATACTAAACCCATAAAATTTTGTGTAGTATATACTTAAAAAATATATTTCAGTTGTTATAATTTAACATAACTATTGGACATATTTTAAATGGAAATTACATAAAAAATAATGTCTTGCACCGCATAAAAATCATTGCACAATCATTAGTAATTGAAGCAGCATTCATTGATATAAATTTCATCTCCGTAAACATGGTTCCGGCTTATTACACTAGTACCTAACTATTTATTATATGAATTCGTAAAGATCTATTTTATTTACCATTTAGTTTGTTTATTATTAATATTGGCTGCTATGAGTACCTGTGCTTGGTTGTATAGTAATTTCAGCCACTTTTAGTCCTGTAAAAATGTAACTAACTTCGCATGTGCTTTGCATAAGTACAGTACAGTACATGATACCAAGACCACAGAATAATAAACAAACAGAATACCCACTCTCCACGGAAAATTAAGTACGCGCATCTCCTCCGCGCAGACGTTCCGCCATGTTTTAGGAGGATTTTAAAGAAATTAGTGTTGTTTATGTGGTGTGTATGGAAAAATTAACCAGGTTTATTTGACTTACGGCAATCATAGACATACTATACAATTATATTAACATTGTTAAATATAATAACATAAATATAATATAATTAAACATAAATATAAACAATTACATAACCACACAAATCATATGTCTGTGTCCTCCTAAAACATGGCGCGCGTGCTGAAAAACTTCAAAGGCGGCATCTGAGAGTGGCCCTTCTGATTGCTTATTATTCTGTGCCAAGACTAAGAAGATAAGATATTGCGCATAAGTCGTGACGTCATTGGAGAGTTTGACGTTCGAAATGTCAGTTTTTGTATGTATCAATAAATAATCTATAATAAATAGTTTGGAGATATCCTTATGTGTACGATTATTGTAATTATTAAACCTCTTAACTTATTTTTGTCTAGTAATTTCATCACAGAATGCATACAAATCCCATTTAACTTTAACAAGAATTCAAATTCTACTCTCCAATGACGGCGTGCGCGAACACGACCTATTTTGTGCTACGGGAAGATCTTATCTTGTTATTCATAGTATCATGCATGATACCATGATACTAAGTAAGACTAAGAAGATAAGATATTGCGCATAAGTCGTGACGTCATTGGAGAGTTTGATGTTCGAAATGGCAGTTTTTTGTATGTATCAATAACTAATCTTTAATAAATAGTTTGGAGATCTTAACTTATTTTCGTCTAGTAATTTCATCACAGAATGCATACAAATCCCATTTAACTTTATCAAGAATTCAAATTCTACTCTCCAATGACGGCATGCGCGAACACGACCTATTTTGTGCTACGGGAAGATCCTATCTTGTTATTATAGCATCATGCATTATTGGCTATGAGTACGTGTGCTTGGTTGTATAGTAATTTCCAGCCACTTTTAGTCTGTCAAAAAATAAAATAACTACCTTGTTGTTGTTGTTTGTTTGTGTCTAAATGACTGCGGACCATAGAGAAATAACAATAAGCTGCGGACACTAAATCCATTCGCCAATCTTACAATTTGAGGTGTAGTGTGTGTGTGTGTGTGTGTGTGTGTGTGTGTGTAGAGTAATTGTCTTGATACTTAGCAAAGTCGACGTCATTGTCTTTGCTAAGAGACGCTAATTGTATCCGAACGTCTGCGGTCCCTCCGGTGTGTACCGATCACACAAGGATAGAAATATTTTCATTTATTAATTTTTCATTTAAAAAGGTGGGATTCGAACTCACGACCTTTAGGTTTAAAGGCAGGCGCTCTTACCACTGAGCCACAGAGGGGGTTAGTAACCACCTTCGCAAAAAAACTAAATTCACTATATACTCGGTTCGCTACACTTACTACGGTTGTCTCTTCCGACTGGGGTGGGGATGCTTGAGTTACGTCACAGGAGTACACAAGAATACAAAACCAATTTATTCGTGATTGAAACTGAATGTAGAGGGCGGGCAGGTCGATTGCAGTGTCATGGCAGATATAAATGATATAAACAAAAACAAACATAACATTCGAATATTTACCATTGCTTTTCCATGTTTAGTTTGGTTTAAGACGAGTTATTTGTATCATTTAATAATGGAAATTAACCTTAATGATATCTTTGAGTATTTTGGTGAAGCAAAGAGTCCATTGGTTGAAGGGGAAGCAGTTTTCAAGTGATGAATTCCTAAATTTTAACTTTAATGTTTGGAACTGGCTTGTGTATTGATGATGAATCCTATTTTGTGTATACCTGGGAATCCAGAATATAATATTCTGTGTAATGTTTGCCTTAACGTATATATGCCATTATTATATCTTATGTTTTTAATATGTTAATTTTTATTTTATACTATTTTTTGACATATGTAAGTACTTTATTGTATATTAACATAAATAAATAACTTTAACTTGGCTTTATTGTAAAATAGTTCATTTGATTACATGAAATTAACCTTAACTTGAGATCACCTGTCAGAAAATATAGCACATGATTTGTCTTTAAAAAATTGCATAAATTATTTTTTTATATATAATTGCATAATAAATTAGTTTTTCAGTTTATTCTAGATTGGATTTAAAATACTTTAACGTAGTCATAATGCTGAAATTTACTAAAAATAATTAATAATTATATTCAAATCAACAGCTGTCTGGTTTGTTTATACCACTTTTATGCCCGGTATTGCAGTATTATAAAACATTTTACTTGCCAAGTAAAATTTAGTTTGAAAGTAAAATAATTTACTCTGCAGATTTGCGTATTTTAAACACATAGTAAATTAATTCTGGAAGTAAATCTGCAAACTAAACTTTTCCTTAGTTTTCTACCAAGTAAATTTTATTTAACAAGTAAATATGACAGTTTCAATGTCTTTTCGGCTGGTGTGAAAATATTTAGATTTAATAATATTTTGAAATGTCTTCAGTATCATCAGTGTCAGATGTTAATTCTCCAACTGTATCTAGTGTTGATAGTGACTGGTATTTTTCAATAAATATACAGATGGATTGTGATGCAAATTTAAATGTAATCAATGTAGTTGCTAGATGGCCTGGTTACTCCCACAATAGTCATGTATTTGATAATTCTCTTATAAGAGCTCAGTTTGAAAACAATGAGTTTTGTGAAACATATTTACTGGGTGATAGTGGTTATCCATGCCGAAAATATATTTTAACTCCCTTACATGATCCACAAACGCCAGCTGAAAGGAAATACAATTATACACATATCCACACACAGAATACAATTGAAAGAATGTTTGGTGTCTTAAAGAGAAGGTTTCCTTGTTTGTCTACGGGACCAATGGAATAGAAGCACCACTAAATTGATAGAAATAAAATCTTCCGTCCTTCCATGATACTTCAGGCCTTCAAAGCGACAACATCAAATCCCAATAAGAAGTCTCAGATTAGGACACACCTCTACAACACATGAAGACTTGTTGAAGAGAGAACAGTGTGTTATGTTTGTGAATATAAAGTGACAATGAAGCACATACAGTTGAAAGACTATATCACCTCATTCCAAAATGTAAAGAGTGTCTAGTCAGTGTAAATAGAGCTATTCCAATTATAGTGGCAATTTGTGTATTGCATAATATATGTAGAAGGAGGAATGATGTGCTGACTGATAGTGAAGATGGCAGTAATCACGCCGAGTCAGAAGATAAAAATTTAAACAAGGTCACTAGAAATCAAGATAATTTTGCTGTAAGAAATGCTGTCATTCGTACTGCATTTATTAATTAAATAAAATGTTTATTTTAAAATTATTTACGGTTCAATAAAACATAATATAAGAATTATGAGTGTTTTAATTATTGTATATGTATTTTTAATTTAACAAAAAAAGTGTTGACAATTCAAATAGTCACAGAAATAAAATTAACTTAATTGTGTCAACTTTTTCTTATTAAACTCTGGTAATAAATCTATGAAACAAACTAAATATAACACCAGTAACTTAATGAATATGATATTTATGATACTATAATGAACATGTATTTTTATTACAGAATTTTTCTACAATAAATACATACTTATAAGAAAGTGTTTATACCCACTTTTAACAGATAACTTTGTGAAAAATAGGCAAAATGTTACGGGATCTATTAGTATTTCATTTATTTATAATATTCTCAAGCGATATATTGTCATTTCAAGGAAGTCATGAAAATAAGACCATATCAGCAAGTAGATACATAATCCTTTCATTTTACGGTATTTGAAAAACAAAGTATGTACATATATTTCAGTTTCATTGTTCAGTTTTTTGTGTT